TCTTATGCGAATCTCGAGTAGCATGCACAGTTAATTTTAACACTTAGGTTTGATGCGTGAGCGAACGTGCAAGTAGGAGAAATTAATTTACGATACCAATACCAGCGATAAACGCGAATAACCAGTGATTCATCCCGTTTGAAAAAGACTGATTCGCCCATCTCGGACCTGCTCATTCAATTTCGACGCCACATTATGCTTCGATAACGTTCAAATTCAACAACAACCGCCTGACGATATACCACGTGCATAAAATTGTTGCGTAATAGCGAAACGATAATATACGGAAGTATACATAGATTCGATCACGAGCGTGGCCCTTACGCCATTATTAATAGTTACGCTCCTGTAAAGATACAACGCGACATATTTTTCCGATACTTCTAGGTCGGAGATAAATATTCAAATGGCACGATGGATATTTCTGTAGTTGTGATTTCGATTTATTTACGAGATCGGTGGGAAAAATTTTTGAACATGGGACGCATAATTTGTCGACTGATAAAGGAAATATCGTAACGGGACAAAGATCGATGAAAAAAATATTGATATACAGATACATAATTTATCAGGGTACTATCAAAGTATCGTATTATCGAGGAATGATCGATTTATGTATAATATCAATTTTAATTGTTATAAGATACTCGGTATTTTGATCATCGAATTTTCATTAATTTCCAAAATTCGAATTCTCGTTGAATTTCTTTTCTGTTTAAATAATCGACGAGTAAATTAGATGATGTGACACTGACAATTGTTTCATCCAATACAAACAGCGAATTGGTCATTTACTTTAATGGAAATCATCGATGTAGATACTTGACGTGCCCTGATATGGTAGCGCACAGTCGAGACGAGCATGCTCGACACCTTCATTGTGACTAAGCTTTCCTTTCAAAACAATTCGAACCCTAATTCCACGTGTCCTAACGACCATCAAAACAGAAACACTCGATGCCATCCCACAAGGGATAGGAAACGGTCAATTGTGTCAATGTCGCAGCGAAAAATTCTAGTTTCTAGATTTAGAACAATTATTAAACTCTCCGTTTATCCTACATTGTCGTCCATCTGCCATAATAACTCGGAATCATATCAAAAACGACTTACGAAACAATTGACAGATGCACCATTTAACGACGTTTCACATAACATAAGAATTTTGTAGTCGCTACTTCTTCGGATTGCCAATGCAATTCTACTGTGTGAAATTTCAATAGAAAATTATTCAAATGTAATAAAATGGAAATGGAAACTCGACGCAATTCTAACAGAATATCAAATTATGTCGGTCAAACCATTTAATTTGTACTGATTTATAGTCGCCATTTTCCCGGATTACAAGCGCGATGCCACGACGAGGAATTTCAACACAAAATTCTAGAAGAACACGAAACTACATTTTGCAACGAAATTAATTGAAGTCGGAATTAATTAATCGAAATTAATTAAAATTCATCGGAAATCTGACATAATTCCAATAGAAAATATAATTACGACGGTTAAACCAATCGATAATACTCGAAATATAACTTATACCAATCTCATAATCACCACTAGACTCTTACGAACACAATTCCACGACGCGGTTACAAAACGAAACTAACCAAACATATAAACCGTACAAAAATTCCGATACAACTGCGTTAGAACTAAAAACCAACCCAAAATAACCTCCAAAACAGCTGCATCACTGTCACCACTTCACCCCGTACGAGAATGCCGGAAGAAACAGAAAAATAACCGTAAAGACGACCCCTTTTCAAGGGCACTTTCACCGGGAGCGAGAATACCTACAGCGCACCCTACGGGGAGCTTTGTAAACGCATTGCGCAGGTACACGGTGTCGCGAGGGTTAGGTAAACAGGAAGAAGCGTGGAAGCGAACGCGTGATGGTTCGCGCAACACTCACCGACTTTCCGCCAGGCGATCCTTTCGCTGCTGCCCCTTCCAGAGGGCCGATTAGCGAAATGCACTCGCGGGACACGGTGGACGGCGGCACCGGTACGTTCCGACGGATATACCGGCGTTCACACAAGGGGCGGGAGCACACTTTTCTGGACTGGCGCGACGAGCCAGCGCCAACGCTGGGAGAAAACGGCGAACGCGCGGGATCTGCGTGTTAAAACGGGAAACGAGCGGTACGGCGATCCGGGAGACCGATCAGCGCGTGGCCGTACGTGCGTCCGGCGTAAAAATGACGAGGACGGGCGTCGCGCAGCATGACCGCCGGCACAAGGGCGTCGAAGGTCGCAGCTGCGCGCCGAGCGGCATGCAGGTGCGTCCCTCTTTCGCGATACACGCACCGCGCGCGATTTGGAAACTGCCACGAATCGCTCCTGCGAGATGCGCCGTATCGCGCGCCGCGACCACCGCGCTCCCTGCGGCCAGGGGAAACGGAACACGAGATTGTAAACCCGGGTTAAAAACGGTCCACTGACCGACGCGATACTCGCATCTTCGATTGCACTGTCTTTTGAGTTTGATTAATTAGTTTGTGATTAGCTAGTTTGTGATTAGCTAGTTTGAATAACAGATTTTAAAACAATTGGAAGGTTTATTGAAGAATTAATAGTGGAACTGACGAAGTAGAGAAATAAAGGATTCTGCAAACCCGTTTTGAGGTTATTGAAAAATTCGTTATTAGAAAGGGAAGTATTACCGATAAATTAATAAGTAATGCGGTAACTTTTAATGAAATAAATATATATATACGCATTTTAATTAATATTATTTATATATATGCTATATGTAGGGTTAACATTTATGCCAACTCTAGAACTGCCAACTTTATTAATAATTGAAGTCGTAGGAGGAAGATGAATCAAGTATACGAAATAAATCCTAGATATTTGTGTAAAAGTAAAAATTAGAGAGTGATTTTGAACCAAAATTTTGAGAAATTCAACAAGTGGTGCAGAGCATTTTGATCTGAGGATTTTTGGCACTAGGATTAATGAACGAGTGGTTTGGAAAGTATAAACCTACTGAAAGAATTGCTGAAGTAAAATTTAAACTCCTTTTATACGTATTTATTTTCATTTTATTATTTTAAATAATTTTTAATTAATTTAATCAATAGGTAACACTACAACTACCAACTTGATACGTAAATAACAATAATTAGAGTCTATGTGAGAAACCGATTAACGACAGAAAACAAAGAATACAAAATGTATTTAAAATTTTAAAAAATTAACCATCAATCAAATGCCTTGGAAATAAAATATGAAACAAATTCCAAGAGGAGAATTAATCCCTTTAGCCTATAAACGACACAATTATGTTTCTATTTCGATAAAAGTTAACATAAACCCTGTCAAAATTTACTGAATGCTTTAGTAAGTGTAAAAGAAATTCGAAACTAGTTATTTCGATTAGATTGGTAGTACTAGGGTCGTTTAAGAATGTTTACAGCACTGTGGGGCTGATTTGGTTTAATCGATAGGATTGCTGATGGAATGGAGTTCAAGTATTTTGAAGATAGGAATATGTAGATGGAGTGAAGAGCGATATATGTGTTTGGAAGATTTTCTCTGGTTGATGGGTTTAAATGATATATATTGGATCTTAGTAAACTGCTTAGGATTGGACTTCTGTATTATTAGCGTGTGTAATGACGTGAAAATATTTTGAGTGGAGGTGAACAGATAAAGTAGAGAATGATATACGAGTTTATTTGAGAAAATGTATTCTGGTATTTTGAGTAACTTGACAGTTTTCTGTAATTTATTAACTTAAATGGTGTGGGTAGATTGAATCCTAGATCATTATTTGGAAATGGAAGCTTCTAATATTATACTTAATGACGTTCAACGGTTTTGTGGGTGAAAGTGAGTAGGTGGGGTTAAAAATGATATGCATATGAATTTGACAAAATGTATTTGAGTATTTGAATTTGAAAAATTCTTCAAAAAGAAATTTTAAGGTAAATAAGAATCTTTCAAATTCTATAAAATTTAAAAATTAGTACCTACGAAAATGTATATGACTTAATCACATATTAATTAATGATATGAAGAAAACAAAGTTGAGAACCGCTGAAATAAAGTATTAAAATCATACGTGAAATAACTACCGAATAATGAGCAATTAAAAATTGAGAAATACTTGTATGTACTTACGTATTGAATAAATCAATACGTGATAGTATTATTCCCTACAAGAGAATAGGGAGCTCCCTCTACCGAATTCGAATCTCCAAATATTCCTTACCAGATACATAATTTGAATCATCACCTTGAAATATTTCCTAACCTATGTTCATAACTCAAAAATTAATTTGACATAAGGAAATCCTGAATAAAAACTCACCAAAAATATAAAAACTGAATATTTATAAATAAATATTTACGAATACGCTTTTAATACTATAGAAAAGGCTACTTTTTCATAGAAAAAGAGGAAAATGTTTTTCACGTTCATATTCACGAATTTATACTTATTGCGTCAGCAATTGCGTAAGACTTTAGCTTCTGCTACATCTATCGCGTAGCACGACAAAGGAGGCAGCACCGACTGGACCTCAAATTAAAATCTCCCCTAGTTCGTTGAAGCAAGACCACACTATCATGAGGCTAGAGTATACACGTGCACAATGCGATGAGCCAGCAAAAAATTTCTACGCCAAGCAACCGATGTAGAACAGTCACGGATACGACATCGTGCGTGAATGTGAAACCTTCGTCGAACTAATCTTCAAACGCAATTTCAACAACACAATGCGAACGTTTCTTCGGTGTAATTCGATTCGATACAATGCGAATACATCCCTGCACAACTGCCTAACGTGAAAGTGTTCGATATTCTGCAAACGAGTTGATTGTAAAAATTGTCTTAAGAGTCGAGAGTGATAAATACCATTAAAAAGAGAAATTAAAAAATTGGAATGGGAGGAACGTATTAATGCACTAAGTATTAGTAAGTTATTTTAAAAAGTAATTAATTTACAAATTTCTATTCGTCTTTTTCGATCTATCGAGGAGTAACTATTTATTGGTAAATATAATTTTATTCTAAAGTATTATTCAATCAGTTACTTCCTTTCCTTCTTTCGATTATTATTACGTTCGAAAATAACCTAACATTTTCGCCAAACACCTAACGTACGTGTAACTAAAATTTCATGATATCACACATCTTTTTATATAACACAAAGATAGTATAGTAAATTGAATAAAATAATTGAAACATTGAAATAAAAGTAAACGTCCTCCTAACCAAATAAAATAACGTAGACTTCAATTACGGTATCTCCACGAATCTAATCCATGCAAACAATCGATAGAAACAAGAGTAACTCTCTAACCAAAACACGATTAGCTTCTTCAATAATTCAAAACATACGACGTCGAATTGAATATATCGAGCTCAGACGAATGCTACATTAAAATCACCGATCCGCGACCACCGAGAACGTTCCAAAAATAACCTCTCAACCGACCTAACCTCTAACGCCGTCCGTCCCTCTCCCTTCTCCCCAATATCAAATCAACGACCGTACGAAAGGATTGTTCGCGGAAGAACGACGCGTGAACGACGATCGAACGGAATTCGAATTTTTCCGTGGTCTGGTCTAAATGCATACGGGCCTGCGCAAGAAACGCTATCGAAATATCCGCCGCGAGAGGCGCGGCGTCGCGACGCTCGCATGTGCCGCAGATTATGCCGCATTGCCACAAGCGTACGGCACCGGTCGGCCGACGATCGCGTCGTCGAGACAAAGCTCGAAAAATTAAGCGAATGAGCCGATCGCGAATAGGTTAAGAGCGAGACGACCTCGCGATGCGACGTCGCGGACGTCGTCGACGAAGCAGTTGGTGAGAAAGGGACATCGTGGAGGAACAACGAGGACGGAAAACGAAGAATAACCAAAGGACGCAACGCAAGAAGGAGACGGTTTACTTTCTAGTAACTGTATAATTATCGACTCACCCAAGGCAGAAGCAATCCACAGGACCATGAACGTTCGACGACTGCCCGGTTTCATGTACCACTACAAGGTGGTCACGGTGCTCCTCTTCTCGATCATGCTCCTTGTCATCTATCTACTCCTTCACTGGGGTATTATGTGCACGAACTTCGAGGCCTGGCGTCACGTATCCAACGTGGTGAGTCCTTTTGAACACGTTATACCGGCACGAGAAACTCGAATCACTGTCACACGACACAGCGTGCGGAGAGCCGCGCTAGGATCACACAGGAGGCACGTTGGGGTGAGATGCGAAAGAGGGTAGAGAGAAAGGGACAGGGAACGTGGAGACGGGCACGCACGCGCCCTCACGGCACGAAACGAACTGATTCTGTGCCACGCTACGGTGCCAATTTCACGTGTATACATACGAAAGACGGAAGGAAACTGTTCTCGCTTACCTCTGTGTTTACATTGCCGGGCGTCTCTCCGTCGTTCGTTTGCCTTTGTGTAACGTTCACGCGCAGAAAACCGAGCGAATTTTTGACTCGGTTTCGAGTCGGTCGGTCGGTTGTACATTGGGCGGTAGAGGGGGTAACGTCTTCGTCTCTGCGGGCACTCGCCGTTCTTCTTGTATTTACATCCCTATGGCTGCTTCCGTTGGGGCCACCTCGTTTCCTGGAAAAATAGCAAACCACGTGAATAGGCTGTTTTCGAGAAAATCCATACTGTCGAGAGATGGTTATGATAAATGGTGGAGATAACCTAGGAAACCTTTCCGTATACCTCTGTATATACCTTTCTTGGAACCTTTGCTAAGACGATCGAGATTCTATGGCTATGGGGAGAATAGTATTCGTCGTACAGTGGAATCGTGGTCTTTCTGCGTTCGGGAAAAAATCAGGGATCATAATAGAAGATATATTCGCTCGTTTAATGATTTCGACTATTACTGTCAGATAGAGAAACGCTGACATTCGTATTCTTGAGGAAAGTAATCGTAAAGCGTAATTTCTTAAAACTATTTTGCAATTTACGATCGCTTTAACACGTTCTTCGTGCAGCTGTTACAGTCATCTGGGAGATTCACTTAAGCACAATTTAAGAGATTTTCAGTTACCTTCCCATCATAAGCAGATTAAGGTGCTCTACACGTGACTGCGATGAAATTCAGTTTTATCCGCTTGTCAGAAAAATTGAACTTGTGCTTACGTTGCATTATATATATCCCATATCAGGCTTATAAATATCTTCAGGATAATTTTGCTTGTTTCTCATAAATGAGGATAATTTCGCTTGTTTCTTATAGATGATATTAACCCTTTGCATTCTCAACATTTTTTCATTTGCTTCAGTGTCAATCTTAACACACTTATATGTGAAGAAGCTTAATCACAGCATAAATTTTGTTTAGAGAATACAGAAATTCTATGTATATGTGAAATTATTTTTCTTATTAATTTTAATCACTTTTCTGTCCCTATTAATAAAGGTAGAGTTAGGTAAATGAAATACATTGCAAATTATTGCAGTAGCGTCAGTGAAGTATGAAAAAAGAAATTAGTATTTAATAATTCCACATATATTATGAGTAATAGAATATTCTGTATCTTATTAAGATGATTCATGTATCTGTTACAATTACTCAAACATTTATGACGTAATATAGTTCAGATTATAAGTGGATTAACATTCTGTGGCTTTAGAAAAAATTCGTCGAACGTGGTTACAAATTCAATTTGTCAAGAGCAGTTACGATCGATGTTCCAAGCCATCGAATGCCAGCTTAGTGACACTACTCATTACATTCAAGCCACAGTATCATACTGGAGTATTAAGAACGAAATCGTTTACGTAATGCATTATCCAACGCACGCGAGGTCATGAAAAATTGTCTGTGGATGCTTCTCGTTCCAAATTATCGCATATTTAACGTTTTTCCAGTTACTATGTTAAACACGTGTTAAAAATAAAATCATAAACGCTGATCGGCCGTTACTGAATAATTTAAGCGCCAGAATATTATATGTTCACTGTAACATTGATACATATTTAAACGAATGCATCGTGAATCATGAATCGTTTAAGGTCGTTCGAGATGTTCAACACGAACTACTTATACCAATTTTGTTCCGTTTGATCTTGATATTCCGAGGTTATATGAACGATATCATCATGCTCGTGAATTTTAAATTGTTTATCCTACCTAGACAAACTTTGTTTTTTGACCTTGATGTTTATAAAATATCATCCCGCGATCGTGAATTTTAAATAGTCTAAAATACACAGCAAACAATTTTACTGATATTTCTGCTATTTAAAATATTACATATGTCATGCAATTACAACTTTTGCCTTGAAAAGAATCTCATAAAATACCGGAAAAAATTGCACATGATATTTCTTGATAGTTCCTTAACACTAAACCTATCATGTAAATTATAAAAACAAAAAATGTGAAATTAAGTGGCAAAAAGATAACGACGTATACAAAATTTTTAATTTTAATTCAAGAAAATTAAAAGTTGGTTATTTATACCATAGGTTTAGTGTTAAGTCAAGAAAATTTAAGATGCCACCCAGGTCAATGAAATTCCTTCGAATTCACAGAGGATCCTTAGGGATCCTCTCCACCTGTATCCAGAACGCTTGTGAACCAACAGGATTCCTCGAAACTCCATAAGGGTCACTCGTGGTTCTCGGAAATTTCATTGGCCTCGGAACAAAGGTATCCCCGGCGTTTGTATCGGTTTTCCAGCCCAGGGTGCATAGGGAAACAGGCGAAAAAACGTGGAACCTCGTCCACTGTTCAGTCGATAATAAACGTGGCCCAGATAAAGCGATGGCTTTCGAAAAGCACATCCGATACGTTACACGAACGTTACGGTGCATAAAGGCGCGTGACACGCATGTTATGGGGGCCGCCTCTACTCGAGAAATCCTCTCATCATGGCGGTCACGTCGACTAAAAATATCGTGTGCATAGTCTACAGTATGTACGGATCCAGACGTGTATCGCACGCACGCGAGGCCAACAACGTGTGCGAATATGCGCGTGCCTGTATGTAACGTAAGCACCGCCCACGCAGCAAGAGAATAATTCACTTTTATTGCTCTCATTCCGGCCCGATGCCCGAACATCCATGAATCGAACGTAAAAATCCGACGACACGGATCGACTGTCCACCCACGAAATTCTCATTCCCGTAATTAAAACATTCTCTCTGGTCCACCCTGTTTAACCCACTTCTTAGATTTGCGTACTTGCACGCTTAAGGTTCGTTTCCATTGCCCGATCGATGCTTGTAGATCCATGAATCGAACGCGAATATTCATCCATACTAATCGACTGTCCAGCCATGAAATTCTCATTCGCATAATTAAAACATTCTCTCTTGACCACGCTGCTTAATCCACTTCTCAAATTTGCGTACTTGCACGCTTAAGCTTCGTTTCCATTGCTCGACCGATGCTTATAGATCCATGAAACGAACGTGAAGACTCATCCATACTGATCGACTGTCCAGCCACGAAATTTTTAGTTCCATAATTAAAACGTATTTCCTTTTCTACCTCGCTTAATCCATTTCTTATTGTTAGAGTTGCATACTTGCTCGCTTTAGGTTCGTTTACATTGCTCGCTCGATGCTCGATCATCCATTAGTCGAATTTAAAAATACATCGACGCGATCAACTTGCTACCTACAAAATTTTTATTTGCATAATTAAAACGTACTATATTTTCCACCCTACTGAACCCAAATTTTAGAGTTGTGTATTTGTACGTTAAAGGTTCGTTTCTATTGCTTATCCGATACCTCGCTGTGGTCCCGTAATTCGCTTTACCTCTCTCGGTGAACGAGAATCTTCTGACCATACCGGTGCTGGAGTGTTCGTACTCGTGATTCTGGGACGACGATAAGGATTAGCGCTTCTTTCTTCATGTACCTGGAGCGAAGTAGTTGGTGAAAAGTAGTACGTACATGTGGATTGCAAAACGTCTTGAAAGAAGGCAGGCAGTGATGTGCATATCGTGATAAAATCGTTTCTTTTTATAGCGTCATGGATATTCTTAAGAAGTTCATGCAATTTAATTTAATCCTTGTACTCTGAAAATTTGTTTATAAATTAAAACAAAAGCAGATAGAAATTTTCCTATTGCCAATATCACCATGGTGACTCCTACAAAATGCAGATGATACTAGAAGTACCTAACAAGACAAAATGATTGATTTTAGACTTCTTGCATTTCTAATTATTACTGAAAACTTGGCTAAATTAATCTCCAATTTCTTTTGAAATTGAAAATTAATTGTACCTATATATGAGAATACCTATTTATTTTCCAATGTTAAATAAAATGAACCCTGTGGCTCTTCTATCTTGTAGTTCTTATTTTAACATTTTCAACTTTCATTATATACAAATTTCAAATATTTATTCTTGAATATTAATTTTAATAACATGAATTATTAAGAAATTACCAATACTGATATATAATTTGAAGAAATTAATAATATTCATGACATGGATTACAGTTGAAATACGCGTTTATTAATATTCATTAAATTTAATAAAATTTTAATATGGATCGTATGTATACTTTACGTTAATAAAAATAACGTAAAGTAGTGTCGAAATCAATTTACTTTTACGAGTGATTAAATGAGAACTCTGTCAAATGCGTTTAATGGTTTACAAGGTGAACGTATTACGTTGATTTAATTAAATCAGTGTAATAGAATCTTTAATGAACGCACGATGTTAATATTCATAAGTACGCATGTAATTGATCATAACACGATAAAACAGATATTCGGTAGTATTAAAATCAGTCATGCTGTCGTTCATAAATGAGTTCCTGTAGTAACCTTCGTTTATGCAGAGCTGTATTGCAAATGCCTTGAAAGTTTGTTTGTGAATGGACAATTTATCGTTCCCTCTTGTGTTGAAGCCGCATCTACAGGGTGTGTAAATGCAGAAAATTTCAATTATCACGACGATATATGAAAGTTGAAAATGCCTGCTGCGTGACAAAGAAACCACGTCATGGTTCAAAGTTATTATCACTATAAACCTTTAGTTCTCCTCACAATCTGAAATAATTTATATCATTTGCCTCGCGCTTATTATCCTTTATAAATGGGAAAATAAATTCCCAGTAAACAAGAATCTATCAGGTAACCATTTAAGAAACAAATCTCTGTTGCCTTCTTCAATAATACAAATTTTGTTCATCCTAATTTCCTATAAACTCAATTTAACGAGATTTAAAATCTAAATCCTAAAGTTGTCGCTGTTTTTAATTATTCTTAGATAATTAACATTCAAGCTTCCTATCGCCTTAAATTCATATTAAACATACCATCTCCTATCAAAATTTTACAAACTGTTACACCTATAAAACCTACAGAATCATTTTCAAAGTATCAATATAAAAATTCTTATAAATCTCTTGACAGAAAATTGCAAATTTTTTGAACTAAGATACACTCAACGTGAAATACAAAGACAAAGGAGTCCTAAATAACGCAAAGCTACAATGTCTCACCCTGTACATCACGCATACGTGGCTGAAAGAGAAAACTAACTCATTACCCGGCCAAAGTCTCTTGGTACCCCTGCATTCTGTTTATGGGGGCCCCCTGTACACTGTGCCCTTACAATAACCTTACTTCATTCTAGAACAGGTTCTAGAACAAAATACATAACGAAGAACGTAACACGTCCCGTAGGTGTAGATTATAGGCTCACGGGAATCCGTTTTCTCGTGTTCGCCACGAACGTAACAAAACAAACTTATACGGTACTTAAACCTAACCCAGACGATTTTCGCAAACGGAGAACCTAACCGTGACTTTTACACGCAGCCAGAGATCGACTTGATCGATTCAAATATCCGTGTCGCGACGAACGTGCAAGTATCCTGAATGAAAGTCGTTCGATTTCATTGAGGAAATCGCAGGACAGACGATACGTAACTACGATTTCACGTGTTCTTTCGGATAAACAGGCCTCCCAAGGCAATACGTTCTCTTCTTTAGGTCTGTGATACTTGTATGCAAATTCTACTCCAAAGTCAAATTGGTTGTAATGGAATAAAGGAAGAGTCGATGCCTGTTCTGCAAACAGAGAGGTTTGAGTTATAATAAATATCGATTCGTCTAAGGGATCGATGATACTGAATTTTTATACAAATTTGGGAAATATTTGGAAGACTCGGATAGTGACTCTGTGATATATGATGCAAGCAGTGGTGCAGTACTTTCGAATATATTCAAATACAATCTCTTAAACGTCTTGAAACAACAAAAAGTAAAATTACATCGCTTTAAAGAAAACGGTTTATGTGCGCTCTCCGGACCACCCTGCTTGCATTGAACTATACCATACATTGTTAAACGAAATGACGAACTACCAACGAATATGATGCAAACAATAAATGTGTAATAAATAATATTTTAAAGGATGTTGCTTGGAAAGTAGCGAGGTCTGGTTTGCGTGAAATTTCGCCCCGTGTCGTAAAACTGCTTTAAAAGTTCCCTGTCCCAGTTTGACGTTTTACGTAACCCCTTGGCCGAAAGGATGCTCGTAAAAATACTGTAAATCAATGAAAAATAAAAAAAAAAATCAGCCGGAGAACACCGCATAATAACAAGAACACGAATAACAAGAACACGTTGTAAAAAGGTCTGAGAATTCGAAAAGGGTAAAAAGGAATCGGTGATAATTTAATCGTGTCCCTTAGAGAGATTTTTACGATGTGAACGTTATGCTTACGGTATCTGATCATAATTTTCATTTCAGTGCAGCACGCACAAAAAGGGGGCTGCAATAGGAATTCTCTGCGACCCGCTATGCGCAGAAAAAGGGATTCACTCGCTTGCATGCGAAACGCTGCACGCTGGCAAGGAAGCGGTCTTCTCGGCCCACTGGGAGACAACTCGACTCGTATTCAAGGCTTCCAGGTTCATTTTTACTTCCCTCTCGTACGATATATGTCGCAGAAAAAATTTAAATGATACACCTAGCTTTAATGAATTTTCACACGTGAAAGAGCGCGCGAGATATTGCCCTAGAAAAGCTGACAAATTATTTTCAATTCCTAAATATTCAGAAAACTTAGAGTAGAGTTTGAAAATATTACGCAAAAGATCTCTTAAGAATATTTAAATTGGTGAAAACACCGCACCCAATTTTTTTCAAAATTCTCCACAGCTTCTGAAGCTTAGAGAACGCTCGTAAAATATTACTCGTGACAATGGAATAATTATTCTCGAAGATTCTAAGTTATCATCAAGCGCAAAATTAAGTAAGAGAAAATATCAACTAAAATTACTCGACTGTGTCGATTGAACGAAAAGTCTATTGGACAATTTCGAACTACTAGCATAGCAATTTATCCAGCAATCATTTAATCGCCGATACTTGACATAAATGTATGCAGCTATATTTCAAACCGCGATGGGTTCCAATTTCAGAACGAAGACCCCGCCGGAGCAGTTCGAGTCGCTATTCTGGATGGACGCGGCTGGCACGAAGCACTACCCATCCGAGACGGACTTCAACACCATGATCAAAGATCTGGTCGTTAGCAAGCTGAACGTGACGCTGTCGCAGCATCAATTAGAGAGGCTTGCGCGACTTCGTACGCATCGCGTCGAGACCGAGCCCAGAAGGCGACAGCTCGAGATGGAAAATCTCTGGCCGCTGTTGCAGGAGAACGAGTACCTGATGAGCATCCTGTACGAGGACAGGGACATTTTTCCGCAACTGATTGGCACATGCGGAACCTTCTACGCGGTCGAGTACGTCCGACCTATAGAAACACCCACGACAGTCCTCGCGCTGTCCGATTCGAAACCGGAATGGGCGAAACGATTGAAGCTGGCCGTGATGATCCTGGACCTGCTCGAAGAACTCGACACCAACTTCCCGGAGCCGATCCATCTCTGCGATGTGAAGATAAACCATTTCGGTCTGCCCCTCGGCGGACAGAAGCTCAAGTTCCTCGACCTGGACGCGGTATTTCCTAAAACGATTATCAGTCGTATCACTGCGGACAGCAAGAGCTGCGAGAGGCACGAGGACTGCGACTACTTCGACTGCAGGTCCTTTTGCTCCAAGGATAAACGATGCGAGTCACCGGTCGCCAATAATAACTTACAGGTAATCGATGAAGGTGGTTTGATGAACTGGTAGTTCCACGAATTAGTAGTCGAACAACTGCAAGATCGTTACATGCAGATCTTGGGTCGAATAGCTCTTCTCCAAGGTTTTCCATCTGTAAGCAAAAAGAAATTTCGTTAGTATTAGATATATGGAAGATTACATAAGTGCAGAAAAAGATAAGATAATAGGTGAAATTTGCATATTATCGTTCTTCGTTAATTGAAATCAGATCCGAGTGAAATTTACTTCGCAATAAATAATTTGACGATTATTATTTCAAAGTCAATTACAATCGTTAATTATTATCGGTGAGTAAAGGATTGGAAAATTGATCGTTTAAAAGAGATAGGGTTTATTTCTTCGTTGAAAATTTATTTCTGAAAGAAAATTCAGAATAAATATTGAACGATAAATGAAATAATAATCGTGGTAATAGTATTTGCCTCCATATTTATATTAAATAGCTATCATTTTCATCTAAATCAAATTTATTTCTCGAAATGACAGATAAATTGTTTAATCGCAGATACGTAATTCCACTTGTCAGGTAGAATAATTGAAATGATAATTGCAAAAAGCAATTCAAAAATAAACTTGCAAAATTCCTTCGGACTTTGAGCTTAAGATCGCATATGTCAAAGAGAAATTGAAATGTCTGTTCGACTCGATACTTTCAAGCCATAGAACTTTTATGAGATTCGATTATGGCGTATTTTATGACACACGATTAGAAATTTCTGAAAAATAGGGTAGAAAGAGGAGTCGATTGGCGTGAAGTGTAGATCGAGCAGATTATATGTTGGCTAGTATAGTATAAGGTTTCCCATGCGCCGTTCCGACTAATTGGAAGATCCTCTATTTTTCAGTAACTTTACCTCTGTGGATATAGTTCCTCGATAAAATTTTACTATCGCAATCCCGTAATATTATTTTTGTCATTCAAACGTATCGTAAAGCACAGTTTCAATGCTGAGTTTTCCATAAATATACTCCCGTGGCTGCCTGTCGCGAAGAAAAGAGTCGATAGACTCGCAATTATTCGGAAATTGGCCTGGTTCTAGATTAATCAGGCCTGGTAATTAAGGTCAACGAGAATATATTACCGTTGCCAAAAATGAGAAACCCGACGATACGGGAAAAAGAAGGAATAGCAGGCAGATCGAATAACTTCTCCCTTTTTCTCTTTCCTGTAACGACGTCGCTTTGGAAATTTTTCAAGTCAATACTTCAATCACGATCGCGGGGAAATTTGTTTCTCGAGCAATTGTAATTATACACCGATGAATATTTGATAATATGAAAAATTCCAAAGACCATAATTATCGTATCAAACGGGACTTTACGCGTGCAAGGTTGAAACGAACGATTATGAAATTTCAGGTCGTCTGCGAGAAGATATTTCTCGGCTGGACACTCTCAGGGACTATCATAATTCCTGGCCTACTCATGTCGGAGCACACCACCAGCGCACTGGCCGTTCTTCTGCGGCAATGTGCGAACCCAGCCGGCGATATCGAACATTTACCACGTGCTGCAGTGTCAGACAATTTGAAGACACGGCTCTACAATATGCTGCACGAAATGGAACAAGAGTTCTCTGCTTCCGTCTAAATACGTTTAAGTTCGAGCACTAAGTGATCGAGAGAATCCAAAGGGTCCTAATTTATGAGCAGATATATTTTAAAGGGAAGCAAAGTGACTGTTCGAAATTTGTGAAATTTTTACTGCGAACAAGCACCATAAAATGGAGACTTAAATCGAGAGAGCAGGAAAAAATGTAATCTATGGGTTTCTTGGAAAATTTCTAACAGGGAAAACGTTATTCACGTGGAAATTTTTGTTTCAATAAGACAGTTCGATTAATTTCATGGGAATTTTTCAAGAAACTCGCGTGATATCTAACATTTTAAGATATGTTGTACGATTTTAAAAGAAACGAGAAAATTCGGATTATATTTAATATTTATTTCTAGAATTTATTGATTTAACGATTCTAATTTAATCTACTACTTGTAAAATACGAAACTATATAATGAAACTTATTCGAACGACTATGCGCACTTGAAAGACCAAAGAATATTTTTATTACAAAGTTTATTACTTCTGAAACATTATCGTCGAATAACGAGAGTTTAAGAATTTTTGCGAGGAAAATTCTGTAAGATTTAAAATAAGGCTATTCATTTTTAAATAACTATATTAACCTTTGGCGACCATTCCCGTGTTAAGACAATGTTTCTTTATATGCTAAGTTTACGTAAAACCGTGTATATTCGTATTTTCTAAAATACCAACTTTTCTCTTACCAAATCGATAATAAAAAAATTCCGATATTTTTTATCGATTTTTGTAAAATAATCCGGCCCTTGCGAAGTTAATGAAAAATAAAAATGTAAAATTCACTGTCGCTTAAATAACGGAAAACAGCGTTCGACTTATATCTGGTGGATTAAAGCGAAAACCCTTGAACAGTGAATTTATATAGTTACAATGCCGTTCGTTAAGCTTCATTGTCACCTCGGCCTCGAAAATTGATTTACATTTATTCCGAAAGCCATAAAGAGCGTGAAGCTCCTTGTTAAACACGGAAGAACACCTTGAATCGAGACGTTTGTATCGAGTGTGAGCTATCGCGAAATTTCTAACTTTCTATGGGTAACGAGTACAAGAAATCGAATCGTCTTTGTACTCTAGGGATATAACGAAATAAGTGACCACTAGAGGCTAGTGATAGTAATAAGAATAGAGGAATAACATTATCAACAACGAGCACAAATACCAACTACCTTACACGTAATTGTAGCCTTACTTATGTACTTTAAACATTCAATAAGCTTAGACAGAAACCGAAGGTATAAAAATATCGTTATTTTTAGTATTCGCGCGTACGGCTTGAAAAATTGAAATATTAAATAAGAGCCTAGAAAATTATTAACTCACTTTACGAAGCGTCATAGTACTGTATAATTATATTTTGTTGTCGAAATTTTCATACTCGCTGCAATATGAATTTTGCATGTAAGAATTTATTGTATTGGCCAATAAGCTATATCGATTTTTCTAGTTAACAATCCTCTTTTATTTTTCATTTATGATTTATTAAATATAGTTACACGGTAGTTGCAGTTGTCCATGGAAATATCATAGACCGAAATAATGTGTATATTATTTAATAAAATCCTTTTTGTTAAAAAAAAATAAATTACGTAACATTTTGAATATTAAATATTGAAAATAACGACATTACTTTTTGGCCAATTTAATATTTTCGGAGTTAATATTAAGCTTCGAAATTAATCAGCAGGTCATAGAATTTAAAAAGTTCTAATGAAAGATCATTTCTGTACACGTCACTTGTTCGTTCATTTCAGTAAGAGGATTAATGAATCTTAAGTTTGGAAGTAAATAATTATTGCCTTGAATAATGTGTATTTAATACCTATTCCATAAGATATAATTCGTATTTCATATTATAGAACACTGATCATGCACAAATACAATTGTTTTCACAATTGATGTAAAAAAATTAGAAAAATATTGATTATTACAGTAGGAAAGTAAATATTAGTGGAATCGGTAATGATCAAGACTTTTCGGGCAATTTCGGTTGATCGTTGACTATATAAAAATAGCTCGGTCTTATATCGAAATCATCTGTCATTTGTTATATCGAATCATTTGACTTCGAAGACAGATATTTCGTCAGAAAGGGTTGAAAGTGTGAATGAAGCGATCAAGAGTTATCGATTAATACTATATGCAAGTCAATGACAACTGTCCACTCCACCCACAACTTTTGCCCTAATAGGTTCTCAAATAATCCTAATTTTGTAAATAAGTTAACAATTTACAACGAATAAAGAACAAAAATGTATAATTTCACTTGTCTTGTTTTTAATCCTTTCATCTAGTAACATTTTGCTTACGTTTTATGATCCCATAACAGGCTAAAACCATTTTCTTCTATTTAGTACACTTTTCAAAATATTTCCAATAACAAATTGAAATCGTATATATTTCATATATAATTGAATTTACTCTTTAAAACTAAAATAAATGTATGTTAAAAATATAGAATCTTTCTATCTAATTTTATTTCTGTCTTGTTATTATCACTATTTATTCTATAAATGAATACTTGTTTTTCAGCAACAAAATAACCATTATTACCAATATTATAGTGGCTAATAAAAATTTCACTAGCAGCAAAATTGTATAATGAAATTTATGTATCTAGAGATTTTGTTTCTAAATGGTTGTATCCTCTAAGTTCCGTGCAACGTATAGAGAACATTCTTCTCTGGAACGCCTTAAGTAAGGGGTTATAATTTAATTTTATAATGTCGAAATTAATAGAAGAAGTAATAAAAGCTGTTACCGATGTAGTCCACGTAAAGAATTGGACTAAATATCCTGAAGGATATAATCGGGCGCAACATGGACCATATAATCCTGGTCGATATTATGGAAAGCGTAAGTTATTGGGCGACCTAAATTTTATGTAATTGGAAATAAGTTAATTGTAATAAAGATTATTAATTTTTACAGCTGATACACCATTTAGTGAAGTCAAACTTAATGAATTATTTGACTGGTTCAAGCGACGCGACTTTGGATTTAAACAAACCGCGAGCTTATTTTCTCGAGGTATATATTTTATAAAATATAACTATCATGTCTCAAAAATTATGTAATATCTTTATTTCAACTTTTATCTTATTAGTAATATACGTAAAAAGTAATGTTTAATGAATTGAAATAATTTTTATGTTTCGATATATTTAAAGGAAACTTAAAATTTGCTGTATCGAACTATGATTTTATATAAAATAAAATTATAAATTGTTTTCGTTATAATTTAAACATTAAAATACTAATTGTCATAAATTATAGCTCACTGGCGTTGGCAACTAAAATATGTTCAACCTAGAAAAGCAGGAATAACACCACTCTATCAAGTTTGTGCATTTGGTTTAGTATCTGGATATATTATGAATTATGGGCGCATTAGTAAGTTCATATATAATTTAAAAATTGATTTCCAATTAACAGATGATGAATATATATTGCACATTTTCATTTTCAGGGGGACATAGACATTATGAATATCATTAAAGTGCCATCTACTAAAATATATTCGATAAAACTAAAATTCTATCGTAATGTATTAGTAAATAAAATAATGTTAACAATTTTGAATATATGTATAAATACTGAAATAAATATTCCTTAAAAATTTAACAATGTGTAATACAAAATTATTTAAGGAATTCTTTAAAATATACATTATAACAATACTCCCTAATAGGATTTAACTATATAAATAGACTAAAAATAATTATTTACTTACAATCTGTGATTCTAAATAATTAGAATGTACCATTAATATTGTTTATATATTATGATTTAAAAGTGTACGTGTTCTTTGAAACAAATATTTCCAAAAATACTGTTACAAATATTTGCTTTAAGTTTAACATGTAAATTTAAAAAAGAAAATTGGTATATTGCGCAAAATTATATGTGATACGTAAATTTGAAATGATATAATAAATTATTACAATTAATGCAAAACGGTAGCAAAAAATTTTACTACTTTCTTAAATAATGTTAATACTTTAATATAATGTTTTAAAAAAACTGAAATTTTACGATTTTGTGCAAGTTATTTTATAATTGAACTTTTAACGTTTAAAACGAATATATATGTATACATTAGTAATAAATGAATTAATTATTAATATTTCAAACAGTATTGATAGTTCAAAATATTCTAGAAGATATGTATTAAACACTATTTAGAAAATAATAAGAGAAAGATAATAAACGCATACCTTGAATTATTGTGTAAAGTCTATTCTTACTTGAATCAATATGCTTCAAATATAATAAAACTTCACTTTTTAAATTATTATGTCGTAGTTTAAAAGAGTCCAAATTTAGTCACAGGAACGTTATAATGGCGCGAAATTGAAAACAATATATATCTTTATATAGTTTACAATTGACGCTAAACAATTGAATTACTATATTCATTTGAATAATTTTCAACTAAGCAAATATGTGAAAAAATATTTTTTTAATTTTTTGTTATGTTTTCTAATTACATTATATTATGAATTAGACAGATATTTATATTTTAATATGTTTTGTACTAAAAAAATTTTGCTTTATAAGTTATACATTAGGTACTTAAAAATATAATATTGAATGCATTATGTTGATAAAATATCATTGTTTAAACAAAATATAAATATACTTTAAATATAAAAATGTGAAAATAGTGCGCAAAAATGAAATACAAATTGTACAATAATTTTTGAAAAGTCAATGCATTTAGTAAGTATGTGTACGCAGCATAAATTCGTATACGCATAAGCGTGTATAACTTAATGTGATCATTGCACGAAGAAAATGTTGATTGGTCCATCGATCTATAAAATGTGTATAATCCGCCAATGAGAACAAAATTGGGGGACAAAACTCAGGTTCCTCTGCAATATGGCTGTCAGTATAAATTTGATGCTTGTAACATGCGTTTCTCTCCGAAAAATTTGACAAGTAGTCTGTCTATCTGTCGACTTTTTCGAAATATACATCGTAATGTGATTTTCGGGGAATCAATACAGTGGGAAACGGCTATGCGGGTTAGCTGAAGTGCAGCAGTAAAATAGATTGTAATTTAAAATCAGGTATGTTCAAGCGTTCGTTGATTACTATTTATTTATATATCCATATTGTATTTCTTTATGATATCTTAGAAAATATTATGTTCCATTTAATTTTCTTAATTAAAACTTATACTGCTTTTCCCAAATTTTACATTGTAAATCTTCGAACTTGTATATTAATTAAAAAACATTCTCGCAGATGTCATCTATCATCTTCACCTCATCAAACTACAAGAAATTTTTATTCTTAAACTTGACAATTGATTTTTCCTATATGGATCATTTTCTTTCTTTATTTGTCAAATAAATAATGAACAATATTCGGTGTGTTTTAGTATTTCCTGTACTTCATTTTATTGTGCACAGCTGGAGCATTCTATGTATTTTCCATTAAACTTTTTTTGATGTGTAATAATAAATACATATTTAACAATAAACTTGTTAGTATTTTTGAAATGTATTTCTGAAATTTTTTTTCAATATTTACATTTATCATCTATATGTATCACATTAATATCATCTATATATATCACAAACATAGTTTTTAAATGATAAATCTTCATGTGTTTGTAGAAATGATATATTTATATGGAATATATATACATACATGCATATGAGTGCACATGTATATATATATGTATATATTCTCTTATTTTGATTTTAGGCATTCACAGCTGTTTATTGAACAACATCACTTACAAACATGACATCAAGGTAAAGCCCAAGCAATCATTTAATTCAAGTATAATATGTAAAATAATATAAATATTTATAGTCACATTTTTACAATCATGCAAAAATAAAATATCTATTTATATCAATATTAATAAATATTGACATAATTGTAATAAAATATTATTAAGATTTATATATATTTTATACATACTTTTTAAAGATGTTATCTTTAACAAATAATAAATCTTTATTTAACTAATATTATCAAATTTTGTATGTATAATCTTATTTAAATTATAAGACATACATGTTAAACATACTATGTTATTTTGAATCTCGTATAATAGTAAAAGGAATTTGAAAATAATACATAAAAATATCAATAAATTTATGAAAAATATAGTTAATTTAATTATATGTTTACATACATTGTAATGTATGATTTTCTATCAGGTTGGACAGGCTATTTATATTATTGGAGACAGGAACAAATGCAGTAACTAAAAGAGCTGCAGCACAACAATTAGGAGAAGCACAGAGATTACATCCCCATGATTTACACCATTTATTAGCACGAGTTTCTACTCTCTTAAAATCTCCACAATGGGACACTAGAGTTTCAGCTGCACAAGCTGTACAGGCTATACTTGCTCAAGTTCCTGCTTGGGATCCACAACCCATTAAAAAAGAAATACGTACTGGTAATTGATTTTATTTTTATCCTATTTGAATTTATTATATTTTATTATCAGTATTAAACTACTTAACTGATAGAAGATGGAGAAACAAAAAGGCCAAATAATAAATTAAATTTGGAGGACTTTGATATGGAAAAGGTTTTAGCACGTAGTTCATATCTTACTGGATCAGAAGGCAGTGAATATGACTTAATTACTACTGATGGAGAACAAATACCACTTCCTAATCAAGAAGAAAAAATTGCTGCTAAATTAGGCTTTCATCCTCGATTAATGGGAGTTGATACATCAGAATTGTTTACTGCTGAAGATCTTACTCCAGTAGTATTACCACCTACCTCAAATACACAGACTAAAGTATCTGTGAGTGAAACACTAAAACAACCTGGTGGCCTTAGTAGACGAGAAATGAATAGGGCTAGACGTAAGGTAATTTATAATTGTCAATAAAATGTTTTTATTAATACCAAAATAATGTCTTAATATACTAAGATGCTATATATTTTTATATATTACTTATTTAATAGGCACGACAGTCAGTTTCAAAACAACGCTCACGGGAACCGGATGACCATCGTAACAACGAAGATTATCATAATAATTCAAATGCTCAATCTCCCACTAATAGTACAGGGGAGTCATTAAATAAAAAAATAAAATTAGAGGAAGTGATTTCGTCAGAGATCGGTGTTAATTACAGTACACAGACTGAATCAACCAATGGAGTACCAGATAGTACTGGTTGTTGGCCAGATTCTCTAATAGATTGGCCTTTAGAGTCATTTGCAGAAAGTCTTTGCCAAGATTTATTTAGTCAAAAGTGGGAAATACGGCACGGAGCAGCGACTGCTTTGCGGGAACTTGTAAAACTTCATGGGAAAGGTATGAAAAATATCAACAATTGTAAGTTGTAATACAAAGATAAACAAGTTTAATGGAAATTAATGGAAATTTAATATAGGTGCAGGTAAATCAAGGGATCAAACTGCAGAGGAAATGGCAGAAAGTCATTATCAGTGGCTTATTGATGCTGCTCTGCGATTATTATGTGTCTTAGGATTAGATAGATTTGGAGATTTTGTTTCTGATCAAGTAGTTGCACCTGTACGAGAAACATGTGCTCAAGCACTAGGTTCTCTTTTATTACTAGTGCCAAAACAAACTGATAACGAAAATAAAAATAAGGGTATTATAGGAATACTTTCAGTTATGTTAAAGCTTTTAGAACATGATGAATGGGAAGCAAGACATGGTGCACTACTTGCACTTAAGTATTTACTTGCTGTACGAGATGATCTATTAGATGACATACTACCGAGAGTATTTCCAGCCACTATGCAAGGTCTTTCCGATCCGGTCGATGATGTAGGTGCTGCTGCAGCAAGTGCACTCATACCAGTAGCATCTGCTTTACCACGTTTATTAGAACCATCAGAATTAGAAGCAATTGTAATTCGTCTTTGGGAACTTTTACGTGAACAAGATGATTTAGCAGCGGCATGTAATAGTTTTATGGGATTACTTGCTGCTATACTTTCACTACCTTCAGCGCGCGCTTGTCTTACACCTCAGCCATTGTCACAGGTAAAAATCAGGTTAATATAATTGGTACTTTTTATCGTACTTAATCTTTACTTGAATTATACCTGATTTTAGGTTTTACCACGATTATGGCCATTTCTTAGTCATTCTAGTTCGAGTGTACGTAAAGCTACCTTACAAACGTTACAAACATTAACTGGAGATGACGGTGCTCACAATGAGAATAGGAAAGAACGATGGGGCGAAGGAGGTGGACTTGTATTGCAAGAAGCTCTTCGTCATGTTTTTCAACGTGTATTAATAGAACATGTAATTGCCATACAAGATGTAGCTGAACGCGTTTGGGAAAATCTAGTCGTACAGAGCGATCTCGAACTTCTATTACATGCGGCATGTCCTCTTGTCAGCACATGGCTCTGTCTTGCTATGCAACCAGAACACGTGCCATTTAATCCGAACTTATTAATGATAATAAGCACTCCTAATAAAGGAGCTAAAGGTAATCAAATTATTGGTACTTGCGAAGGACAATCAGATGCTAGTAATAGCGGAGGAAATAATATTGTCACCGGAAATGTAAAATCTCTATCCGAACTGAAAGTTTATATTGGCGGAATCGAAACTGTAGCTCAAAATATAAGGAAATCAAATGTAGTACAAGCTCGTTGTAGAGCTGCACGAATGCTAGGATTGTTATCATATTATGTAGTACAACCAGCACCAGGTGTTACTTATACACCAGATATACCTAGTCCTTCACTTTGTTACGCTAAAGTATTACTAGCACATCTTAATTCACGTTCAGCATTACAACGCACCGTCGCAGGTTTGACAATGTCTCATTGGGCGACTGTAAATAACATGAAACCACCTACAATACCAGATATCCTCAGGTATAAAAATAAATCTTCCGATCATACATTTGTCTAATACAATATAATAATAATATGTTTCCTTAAAAGGAAGAGACTCTTGGAGTGTTTGAACGAGTGCGTATACTATGATGAAATCGCTACATCTTTCACTCGCCTATTACATGACAGCCGTGATTACATTGCCACTCTCAAACATTATAAATTGCCTGTTCCTATCGAAATAGATGCATCAGGAGTGATGACACTTGATCAAATAGCAAATCTTGCTGGGAAACCAATTTTAGAACTTTGTGCCATGGGCAATGCAATAAGCTCTGGAGGTCCAAGTGGAAGTGTTGGTAGTAGTCCTGGTATGATTAAATTAAAACAAAAGTTGATCGAAAGCTTAGAGGAAAGACGAAAAGCATTGGAAGTAGGTGCTACCGATACAGCAGCGCAGCAACTTTCGTACAATGTTATGTCAATGGCGGCACTTGCTGGCGCCGCAACGATGTTACATTGTCTTCCTCCGTCCCCAGAACCTCTTAATCCATTGGTAAAACCATTAATGGAAGCTATTAAACGAGAAGAAAATGAAGAACTACAAAAGTTGGCTGCAAAGCATTTGTCATATCTAGTTGAACTTTGTGTGGATAGAAAACCTTCTCCTAATGCAAAGGTAAGCATCAGAAATAAAATGATTAGCATAAGCGATTGTTATGTTCTCCTTGAATAATTTAACACAACTTTATATCATAGATATCGACCAATTTATGTACATTCCTATGCTCGGATATTGAATTTACACCTCGTGTAAATTGCAATACAGATCAAGATCTATTTGATGGAATTCTTACTTTAAGCAACAGACAGAAACATGCTGAGAGAGTAGCTTATAATCGGGGAGCGAATAGCGGACTTGGCGGAGGAAGGGGACCTGGCCGGCCACCAACAACTGAAATTCCTTTAGAAGAACTACTTGCTTGTGAAGAGCCTGAAGCTAAAGCGGCTAGAACACGTCGTCGTGGAGCTACTTTGGCACTTACTGCTATAGGTTTGCAATAAAAAAATCCTACTCTGCAAGCATATTATACAGATTTTAAATACTCTGTTTCTGTAGCTACGCTGTTTGGTGCACAATTACCTACACGTTTACCACATCTTTGGGAACTAATATTGCCAAACATATTACGGGAGGAAAACAAAATTGTTGATCGTGAGAATACTCAAGAAGAAGTAAATCAATTAATTTTTGGTTTACAAGTTTTAGAAGTTATGGCCCCCAGTCTTGATAAAGCTCTACTACCTCCTGCTTTAGAATGCCTTTCATGTTTATGTAAATTATTGGCTCACCCTTATAAAGCTGTTAGACATATGGCATCGAGATGTATTGCTGTATTAGCTGCATTAGATACAGAAAAGGTAATACTTTTAATTAATATGATTCGCGATGTCAATTTGATGGTTAAGTTATGAAACATTTGATTCTAGATAATAATACACGTTACACGCAGTGTAATACCACTTTTGGAAGCAACTGGTGGAGAAAAGTTATATTCAACAACTGTAACAGCACCAAGTGAAGTAGATTCGATAAGGCAAGGTGCAGCTGAAGCATTGGCGTGTCTTGTCGAAAGTTTAGGTGTCAATATCGTTCCATATGCTGTACTCTTTATGGTTCCTTTGCTTGGACGTATGAGTGATCAGAATCAAGCTGTAAGATTAGCCTGTAGTGCCACATTTGCAACGCTTGTACAACTTTTACCCCTCGATCCTGGTGCGATTGCGGATCCACCAGATTTAGTGTAAGTTTATATTTCATGTAAATTTCTTCTTAATTAAATATGTATTATCAATCATTCAAATATTTTAGGGAAAAGAAAGCACAGGAACGACGGTTTTTAGAACAGCTTTTGAATCCACGTAGTATTCCAGATACTGAATTACTGATTCCAGTGGCTGCAGAATTACGTTCTTACCAACGACAGGGTTTAAATTGGTTAAACTTCTTAAATCGTTATCGACTTCATGGCGTTTTATGTGATGACATGGGTCTCGGTAAAACATTACAAACTCTTTGTATACTAGCGTTAGATCATCATCGTAATTCTCATGCTCCACCAAGTCTGGTAGTATGTCCACCTACTTTAACTGGTCATTGGGTGTATGAAGCAGAGAAGTTTTTCAAAACCAAAGATCTCTCCGTGTTACAATATGCTGGTACACCACCCGAACGTGAAAAATTACGTCCGAGAGTTACTTATCACAGACTCGTTGTGGCAAGTTATGATATAGTGCGTAAAGATATTGATTACTTCGAAACACTTCAATGGAACTATTGTGTGCTTGACGAAGGTCATGTTATCAAAAATGGAAAAACAAAAAGTGCAAAAGCAACTAAACGATTGCACGCAAATCATAGACTTATACTATCGGGAACACCAGTACAAAACGATGTACTTGAATTATGGTCTTTGTTTGACTTTTTAATGCCAGGTTTCTTGGGTACTGAGAAACAATTTGCGGCGAAGTACTCACGTCCTATTCTAGCTTGTAGAGAACCAAAAGCTGGTCCAAAAGAGCAAGAAGCGGGAGCTTTAGCTATGGAAGCACTTCATAGACAAGTAATTCTTCACATATATATCACATTTTATTTTTCATTTTTATCAACAATTTAATATATCTATTATTTAAATCATCTATAAATTGTAATTTTGCATTGTTCAGGTTTTACCATTTTTACTTAGACGAAATAAAGAAGACGTCCTTCAAGACTTACCACCCAAAATTACACAAGACTATTATTGTGATTTATCATCGTTACAGCGTATGCTATACGAAGACTTTCGTACTCGACATTCTGCCACTTTATTATCCACATCGTGTACTTCAACTGGAAATGATCCACATGGTGGTCATGTCTTTGAAGCATTACGATATTTACGTAACGTTTGCAATCATCCTAAATTAGTATTAAATCAGCGACATCCGTTATACACAACAGTTAGTATTAATATAATAGTTATTACAATTCTTTATATTTAATCTTAAATTGATAATTATTTTATTTTTTAGGTATGCAATATGTTGAAACAACAAAAAAGTACTTTAGCTGACATAGAACATGGAGCTAAGTTACCTGCATTAAAACAGTTATTATTAGATTGTGGTATAGGACAACCACAACAACAACAAAGTCGCAATTCTGTATCCGTTGGTGGTACACCAGATAATCAACCTCCGCAGCAGCAACAATTAGTAAGCCAACATCGAGCTTTAATTTTTTGTCAATTAAAAGCGATGTTAGATATCGTGGAAAAAGATCTTCTTCGTACGTATCTACCAACTGTTACGTATCTTCGTCTCGATGGAAGTATACCAGCAACACAGAGACATTCCGTAGTAGCACGTTTCAATGCTGATCCATCAATAGACGTGCTTTTATTAACAACTCAAGTTGGTGGTCTCGGATTAAATCTAACTGGCGCAGATACTGTTATATTTGTGGAGCATGACTGGAATCCCATGAAGGACCTTCAAGCAATGGATCGAGCACATCGTATTGGTCAAAAAAAGGTAGTGAATGTATACAGGTTAATCACAAGATCGACAGTAGAGGAAAAAATTATGGGATTGCAAAAATTCAAGCTTCTCACTGCAAATACTGTGATTTCAACGGACAACGCATCTCTGGAAACAATGGCAACTGATCAGGTAAAATACATAAATCATTGTATTAACCAACATAGCTATAACTATTTTAATAATAAAACTTTTGTAATAAATTTTGAACTCCTTGACACACTATTGTATTACAATATTATCTTATAGTATTATTTCTGTCTTTTCTAAATTTTTATATGTCACTTTATATTAAACTCAATGCAATTTTATTGTAATAACAATGAAATTTTAAACAGTTATAACTATATATACATATATACAAGTACTGAAAGTAAGACATATTTATAAAACTTTATCTAAAACATTCTATGCTAAAATTATCAAAAAAATATTAATAGTAAATTTTATTTATAACAACGTTTTTAGTTACTAGATTTGTTTTCATTGGACAATGGCAAAGGAAAAAAACCAGAAATACAAGATGATGCCATATCCAAAATTACTGGAGTCCCAGGCTTTAGTCGTTCTGTCCTAGAAATTCTCCCTGATCTGTGGGAACAGCAACAATATGACGATGAATATGATTTTGATTCATTTCTGTCTACTTTAAAGGCTGATAACCAGTGAGCTTATGGTCTTACATGTCAATATCATTGAATACATAATAATGTAACAATACATTAACACATTTAAGAGTTGATTACTTTGTTGAGCATACATGAATAATAAGAAGATGATGCTATTAATTTTATGGACTGAAAATAATGAATATTCAATGAATATATAAAAGGATATACAAATCACTTACAGAAAAAGAAAAGAAAAAATGAAAGAAAGAAACTCAGATAGATAAGTTGCAGATGATATCCATGAAGTACTATAAGTAAGCGAGTCTTGTTTATTTATAATAACTTATAAAAATGTCGATACAATTACAATTTCGTATTTGTACCAAACGACACCATGGTTCACATTTATTTGTATTATACTAGTCTCTTCCTTTACCACTATTTTTTTATATCACCACACATATCAATGGTAGAAATGGCAATGCCAATTGTCTTTTTCCCTTCTGTTTTTATTCCCTATCAAATTTCTCTCAAGAGAAACTATTTTCCTGTACAAAATGATACCCAATACAAGTCCCAAACTATCACAATGCTTCATTATTGTTCACTTCATAGTTTTGATACACATTGCGAATCTAAGTTTCCGGCTGCAAATATATTAAGGGGATCTAAGTGTGCTTTGGCTGCTCGATAAAGAGACACTCCCACTTTGCCTACTGCATCTGAGTAAAAACAGGAACGTAATTTTCCTACACCATGATGGTGAGACAAAGAACCACCGTTTGCAAGAATTTCTTCCCGTGCGATGTGCTCGATACTCTCGTACGTTTGTATGGGATCCGAAAGATTCTTGTAATTGAACGCCATGTAGAAATAAACACAACAGCCAGCGTCGTAAGTCTGTGTGACGCGACAAGAAATAAAGTATTGTTCAATGCCACGCGAATAACACTCCCTGATCACACGAGATTTCACATTTCTACACAACGACAAGGTACGATTCCAAGAGACGGATGTCTCGAAAGACTCAGACAAAACGTAATACTCGAGACCCAGATCTCGAATATACGCTATAACGAATGTTAGAACGTAACCTCGTTCACCATTTGTTTCTCCTGCTGGAACACCGTTGTGTTGCTTCGCGATATCGTAAATTTTTCGTTCCTGTGCTGCCACCTCAGTATGTGAGCTACCTTCAAACAATAAAGTGGCAACACATATTTGGTCCCATTTGAAACGTTTTATTCTAGTAATGTAAGCTTGTTTTAATCCTTGTAGAATTAAACCGCCCCAGCTAGGTTCTGGTCGTAACATTTGGCCAAATTGGAACTGTTCATTATCCATCAATCGTATACTAGCAGGTTGACACCGTTCTCTAGCTACCTGTTCATAAAAAACATCAAGTTATAACATTTTTTCAATATTAATTTAAATCGATTTTTTTTTTTTTTAGCAACTGAAATCTTGTATTAATCTTTACAAAAAATTAAAAGAAAGTGGAAAATTTAAATCAAGACTGAATCCATATCTATATTACTCGTTTTTTAACTTGAATTATTCAGAAGCGTAATAGCAGTAACAATTTATATAACCAAATATGTTCATCGATCATTTTAAAAATTGCATGAAAATTAACGTTGAATATGTTACAGATGTAGTTGGAAAAATGTATGTAATTGATACAGAACAGCAACAAAATGATGAAATTTAGAGATATATTGCTATTAAATTAATGAACATTTACCTGATGTAACGCTGAGACACCGGTTTGAAAATTTGGAAAAACTATGCTACCGTACTTGACTACTTTTGGTAATGGTCTGACTTTCAGTACCACTTCCGTAACGACACCTAAAGTTCCTTCGCTACCAAGAATCATATGGTCAAAGTCAGGACCACAAGAAGCTCTTGGAACCAATATACCCCTTTCAAGCGTTATTTCTGGATCGTCTGTTCTACCGGTGACCATCCTCACTCGTACAACTAGGTCTTCAATGTTCCCATATCGATTCTTTTTCATGCCACTCGCCCTCGTCGCAACCCATCCACCTAGACTGTTCTTTCAAGAAATACAATCGATCATGCGGCTAGTAGTTTTGCAATCCTTGTATATAAATAATTATGTGATTTACATTTTACCATATGTCTATATACAGGATGATTTTAACGAAATAATTGTCATTATTAAAATTTCAACAAAAATTGTTCATAAGAAATTTAAGTGCCAGGAATTCTATTCTTTATATTCTATGAAATAATATTCTGTTTTTTAGAAAAAAAAAATATTCTATATTTTTGTCGTATTTCTTATGCAGAGAAAATAATTATTTCTAAATGCAATTATACTAAAATACAACCACCCGTTAGTTCAACGACATTTCACTTAGCATCATGATCTATATCTGTTGAGTATCTCTCTACTTTTCTTCTTTACTCTACATGATTAGATATAAAAATTAAATGCGAATATTGTTAAATCTAAATAAAAAATCATTATACAACATTATTTAAAAAATGATAATTTACAAATTATTAAAATTTCAATTCATCTTTTAAACAAGAAAAATCTGATATGTAATAGAAAATAAATTTCATTGGAAAGAGAGTAACTGAAGTTTCATCAAGAAAGAAAAAGATTATAATAATTATTTGCAATAAGGCACTCTACAAAAAGTACGATAATAAAAATATTACAATAAATTTTCCTGTATATACAATACACTCTTCTTTAAAGAGTACCAGAAATGTCGTAAAACTACAAGTGCTTGTATTCAAGATCGATTCACCAAAGAAAAACTGTGTTCTGCGATCGAAGAAACGGAGTTTCTGTTTTAATACAATATCGTGTACCTAGAAAATTCGTAAGAATCAGGTTCGTGACCAGAAGTCAGACCTTGCAGTCGGAGTTGCTTTTCAAGGTCCTGGCCGATAATACCAGCCTCGCAACAGGCAATTAAGTTTTCCCTGTCTATCCATAGTATTCTATTCATTTGCGAGGTGTCCAGCAATATTATCGTTCGTTGTTCGTTCATCGGACAAGTGGCAGCACCACTTACACTCGTTCCACCTCCGAATGGAATACAGACTGATCCGTATCGAGCACACAATTTAATTATTTTCACAACGTCCTCGTGGCACTCTAGAAATGCAGAGATACAGATATTATCGGACGATGCATCTCGATTCTACTGGGACCTCATGTTTATTTATTTTCTTTCTTTTTTATTATACTTTGATATATTTTATCACGCGTGACAAATTCGAGGCGAGTGAAAATTCAAGCCAACTGAAGACACGAATAATGAAATTTTAATGTAATGGAAAGGTGTTCAAAATTTACGTGTAATGTAAGAATAATTTTTCCACGTTTTTCTCAATATTGAAACAATTTTTTATAAATAAGTCTAAAATAAATCTGACAGGGTTGAAGATTTCTAACATAGATATTTACTTATGATACATTTCCTTGTATCTATTATTTTAGTCTTTATATACATATATATATATATTAAATAATATTTACATATATTATTATAATATATTTGCATATATTATTTAAATAATATATATCAATAATATTTGCAAAGTGCAAATTACTATCAAAAAATTTCTTTGCAATGAAAAGAGCAGTTATTTTCCATCTATAATGTAAGTTTAGAATTACAATGATACTGCTATCGCGAATTTAAAAAGACACAAGACATTTCTTATTCTACAGACTTATTCAATATTAGATTACGTAATGAGCCTCGACAAATGTGTCTACCGACTTATGCATCGGTATAGAGGAGCTAAATTAGTCATAGCTGGGAATATATTCTCTTGCAAGTAAGTAAAGCAAGGAAAAGGTTAAGTATCGACCCATTTTAAGATACAATGTGGATATTGATATACACGAAGCGTTAAATTATATTAAATGGTTAGTTACTCTCTGACTCATTTTATGCAGTAAAAAAAATTCACGTGATTATCGACTCGAATTAAACAATGGAAATAATATATATTCCACAGAAACGGAAACTGCAGTTGTTTAAATTAAACAACATATTTCTTTTAATTTTGTAAATAACAGAAATTCTGTGAAATACTTTCATTATATTTTCGGTATAACATAAAATTTTGCGCAATAGATTTTTTAATAGGTTTAAAATATAATAACTTTCGGTGTTTTGTCATTAATATTTACTATTATACGCTGATTAACGAGTAAACAATTTGTCGCATTCAATTTTGAATACTGTCTGTAATTTATAGGACTGCAATGTTGCATAAGTTTCCAATTTCATGAGAGATAACTTCCGAGGCGAAGTGATTGATATTATACGAATATCGGGATAATAAAAACGAAGACCGCATAATAAATGAAGATATTCCAAAGGAAAAGAGCATACCAGGATGAAATAAATGTTCACTGTATATTTTCATGCATTCGTGTATTCCTTTAATTTAACTCATTTTTGTTCAAACCGCAGCTCATGACATAACACAAAAACGTGTTATTTGGGACGGAAAGAGTGTAACTAAGCCAAGGTTTGCGAATTCTGTCGTTTGCATACCTGATATTCTAATCGATACATTACATTTACAATTAGTTAGAAGGAACTGAAAATGCCTATCTACTCTTCAACATTGGAAATACGGTAGACTTTAATGGAACATTTAATTATAAATAATGTATAAACGATGGTAAAACAACGAATAGTAAAAAATACATGATAATGAATTCTAAAAAGTACAGTAAAGTGAACAAAGTATGACGAATGTTGCTCTACATAGTTATCGGTAAAAACATATTGTATAAAATATATGTAGATATTAAAAAAGAAGAAAAGAAAATACATTAAAAATAGAGTCTTAATGGCGATAAATTATATTAACAATAATAAACTGAACGTAGAAAAAAATAAAAAACAAAAATACGTAGCAAAGTACAATAAAGTATATACTGTAAACACGCGTGGATTATTTCAGAGTGTTAATCTATGATTAATGGAAGTTTACTCACTCGGCCAGAGTACTACATCCGGTATTCGATCGAACGATCCATGCTTGAGAAGATAAATTTCTCGTAGCGTATGCCCGTGTGCCCTAACCAACCGGTCGACACCCTTCAAGGAATATTCGATCTTTAATTCTCGGATCGCATCCAATAGATCCGACGAAATGATCGGTTTTGGTAGACTCGTTGGCAGGGACTGAGACACGTTCTTCTTGGTCGGATCCACGCCAAAGGTATCCTTTACCCATTGTGTGAAATATGGAAGTTGCGTGTTGCCAATGGGATACCTGTAAGCAGTCCATTTGTTAGTGATATTCGGCATGTTCGATACTTATTTTATAGAAAAATAATTATAAAATAACCATTATACCAATTAATATAATAGCTATTGTTACGATAACGTAACAATAGCTAGAGTGTAATGAAAATTGGCAATAAGACTCGAAGTAACAAAAATAAGAACTTGTTGACTTACAAAGAGAAATGAAAAATAAATTTATACCGTTGATAAGGCTTTTTAAATAGAATTATTCGATGCAAATTAACTTTTTATTGCCAAATTAATTACTTGTTAAATATTCCTATCGATAATGAGAAAGTTTTTTAAAATTTAAATCAACTTTTATATCGACATATTAAAAATAATGTATATCATTGATAAGCCTTAAGTTTAAATCGAATTTTTGAATAAACAATTTTTAAATAACAATGAAATATATATGAGATAAAATCTGATATATATATCTACTGTATATAATGTATTTTTTTTTTTTTTTTTTTTATTATAGTACGAAATATTTCTCGTTCTTTTTTAATTTTCTTTGGTTTTATTTTACTGCCATGATACTGTGGGCTTAAGAGATTTAACAGCTATGTGTTAAAATAGAAAATTTCACGAATACTATCCCATAAGTATTACATTTAGACGTGTCTAATCAGCCTATCTTATCATGGTAGTTTCTCGTGAACTTAGTCACGTGTTTTCTATAGGTCGAGAGACACACGTTAGCACTTAACAGTCACTGCATTTATAAAAATCATTTATAAAAAGTCAAAAGTCATTGTGAAGGAAATGATGTATCTACAAAGGTATTAATTACACCTTGCGATATCTCATCACATAGTTACATGTATTAATTGATTGCAATTAATGTTTATAAAATGACTCGTTCAATTTTCAGAAATAAATTGAATTAAGACACTAAATATCTTAAATGAAAATCAATAAACTGCCAAGAAAAAAATATAGTTTTGAATAAGGGTAGATAAATTCAAAGAGAAATTATTTCTTTAATAAAAAAAGGATATTAATTGGGTTTAATTATAGAGCAATTAACTTTGAAGAGTAATATTTCAAAAAATATTATTTCCTAACACTTGACGATATTGCAAGAAATATGCTATAGTAAGAATTGTATATCGGAATCCATTTGAAAAAGTACTTAGTGTGCTTTTCTTTATTGACATAGTAATTTTCAATTCGTTGTAAAATCACTTAGACAAAGATGTGCATGAGAAAAAATGAAAAAGGAAGCTACGTAATTTGTACTTCGACTTTGCACGAACCACGTGCGTTTGTTTACTCTCATTAGAATCAATTTATGGAATAATGATCGATACAGCGTTGCGACGTACAAAAGGTCGTCGATAAACATACAAGAAACGTAGAATTTCTTGTATGCGCACCTCTCGACACCTCGTGCAAATGTGCTCCAAACATTCATTATCGAACAAGGTTTGACAATACGTGTAATAATCAATTGGAGTCATTGAAGAATCTTGCGAGATGGAAACCTTCCGTTCCCGCGCATTCTTCGCGTCGTACCAGACGTTCCTTACTAATTCTTTAATTAAACTGAGTAACTGTTTTGCAATTAACCGTCAATAAATTAAATTATCGACTTCTCGGAATGGTCGGTTTATTAATGCAAATTAAATTAGGAGGAATACACGTAGAAGTATATGGATCAATCGTTGGTCGAAAATATGAGTGGTTTTCTTTTTAAATTTTTATAAATTTTTATAAATCTTATTTTTATGAAGATGATATTTTAATATTAGATCAGCTATTTATTTATTTTTAATCTTTGTAATAGGAAAATAATATTTTTTAATTCATCAAAAAGGAAATTGTTGAACATCTTCAAAGAAATAAATTTATTAATTATTAAATAATCGAGACACTATCGATTGTATAAATTATTGTTAATTTCAATTTTTCGTCTTGTCTTTAATTGATGATAGACTTCGTCCTTTAAGTTAATAGGTTTTAGAAAATGATCGCAACGAAGTATTAAAAAACATGTTTTCAATATTATTCTTTATATATTCCCATACTTTTTCCTTTTCACTCGAAAATGAGAGATTTCTATGCAAATCTTATTCGGCTTTAATTATTATATTCATTGAACCTTCTTTTGAACCTTCTGTTTAAACGAATGGAACAATACAATGTTGAATTTATTATACGAATCTTTAAAAATAATTGAATACAATGAGAAATAAAACGAATTTTATGCCACACTTGTTGCATGTTAATTTTATGTGATTTTATGTGATTAATTTTACGTTTCGTTTTTGGAAAATATTTGCAATAGAAATTCTTTGCAATCTCTTGCTGAAGTCGAAACTAAATACAATTTTTGTTCTGTTATCGCTTAAACATCACTGGATTCTATGTATCCTAATCGGCTTATACAATAAGACTAATTAATCGCAGTTCCATTATCAAACTGTAACCATACCTTACCTCTTCAAACATGAGATAGTATGAATTTGGTAAGAATTAATTAAAAGTCGAAAATTACTCCTTTCAATAAACAAATTACGATTAAAATATTTGAAAAATCATATTATTAAACTAAATAAATAACAAAATGAAGAAAACATATTCTATAAGCACAAACTATTTGATAATTAAGCGATTAAAAACAGAGAAAATAAATATATCGTATTGAACAATTTTTATATGAAACATTTGTAATTAATACGATCATAATTTATAATAATATTGTGCATCGTGTTACATATTATTTGTTACTAATAAAATTAAAATGAATCAATAACAGTAAAATTATTTTAAATAACTGTACAATTATTTCATTGCAAAAATTTTCCAAATGAAGTTTCGTATTAAAATATTTTAATTATACCTTGGATGGAAATATAAAAATGCACGATAAATACGTAAATATTATTTGATTCGCGAAGATAATTCATAAATGTGTGCATTTTGAATTTACAAACTATCATTCCACTTCAATCTGAACTACTGTACAATTTAAAAAATGCAAGAAAATTGAACTTGTACATTTTTTACTAAAACGAACATCTTCACGCTATTCATAAAAAAAAGAAAAAAGAAATGGAGCTCACTTCTGATTGAAAATTAATTATCGTCAATATCGTGTGAGGAGTTAAAAAAATATATAAATCTATAAAACATGGGGAATTTATGGTACAAAAACGCTATATTTCTCTATTTTTGGTGATGAAAAATAAAATACGTGTAAAAAGCAATTATATAATATTTTTTCTAATTTGGTATAAAATTAGAATAGATTAAATGAAACGGATTATGATAAAAATTAAATAATTATTATTCCATATTAGAAAAATAATTAAGTAACCTACTTTTATATATTTATATATAAGTAAATATCATTTTTACTATTTTCATACTAAATGTTATTACACAACTTATCATATAATAGCAAATAAATGTATAAAAAATTAAAAAACAAATAAATTTATTTAACTGTGCATGAAATAAGTAAATTTATTTTTACGTAAATTTTATACATCTTTTACATAAAACAGCTACAATGATGTTTGCAAAATATCAGGCAGGAATAGAGATATAAATATTAATAAAAAACTTACCTATTTCCAGTGAATTCAATAATATATTTCTCATTCATACGAAATTCAGAATCCTTATATCCCCAGCCATTCCACTTCAATAATTTTTGCCTTTAAACATTAAAAAAGTTCAATTATTTGACACATACTTATCACCGTTTGGAAAGTGTTAACAAAGATATATAAAATAGGTAAAAAAGATTGCAAAGAAATATTTGTAACACCCTGGGCGCGCGCGTTTCTCGCACCACGTGACTGATCGATCAACCAATCGGTAGAAACAGCATTAGCCTCTCAGAAAGCAAGTACCCAGTAAATGAATCGATTTTGTCGAAAAAAATACTAAGTAATAGTAAAAATAACAAGAGAAATTGATTATTTCGATGTTTCCACTGCTTGTTATACAAACAAATCACGATATCCATGTAAAAAATCACAATTTTCATTCAATGAAAAAATGTTATTGATCGATTTCTTTCTCTTTCATGCTCGAATAGTACGAGGGGTGCTTTAGATTCGTAACATCTGCCGATGAGTCAGCTAGTACTCGCTTCAAGGCGTGGCTACAAGTAATTTAACCGAGTTCTCGCTCTCATGCGACACTTCTTCGCGATATTGTCTCTGGTGCGCACACTGGAATTCGTACGATCTGACATGAACCAAAAATTGCCGGTACAAAACTGACCTTTCTTTTGGCACAACACTCTGGAAACGGATGGGTCCATTTAAATTCTCCACATCCTCGTTCGTTTCATTTTTCGGATTAGTCGACATATCCTATTGACTGCACCGCGAAGGGCCTAACCTTTCGATCCGCACAACACGACCAGTAAAGCGTAGATGCTTGAGCGCGCGCTCTTCGCGGCACTGTGTTGACTATTGACACGCGCACCGGCAAACCAAATTTAAATCAATAGAGCCCCCGCCCTATGACTACCCGCCTACCGACGGATCTCCTCGTGAAAGGAACCAATCACTTACACCCAATACATTCTTGGCATAAATAACCAACGCTTTTCACTGACTAGTGGTAAGCCAACACATCACGTTCAGCGTTCTTCACACATGTTATCTGATGCTGTTACGTCTTACTAGATTGAGGGATTCTTTTCATGAAAGGGATTTCACACGCATGCGCAATTAGATATTATATATGAAGAATTGATAAAATTAGTACTATTTGTTGAGTATCATTTGTATCTAATTGGCATAATTGTGAGAAGTATAGTCAAAATATGTATAATAATATTTGAAATAATTAAAAGTAATTAAACATTTTAAAATATACAATTTATAGTCATATTTCAATATAATAAAGTGCGTTGACACAATTGATTTATAACCTGTATATTAGAAACATAAGTAAATAAATAGAAGATAATAGAAATTTACACAGAAATTATTTTAGACATTACTAAAATGCGGAAAACCTTAAACGAAAAGTACTAAGTTTTGTTTTGTACAATACATTTTTTTTTTTTTTAAGTAAAAGTAAATGCTGCTCTTTAATTTTTGTTGTGAAAACATTTACCTGAAACACAATCTTTCTTACATTGTTAACTGTTTAAAGAGAATTTTCTTATATAGTTTATAATACACGTTATAATTGTATATGTGTATTTCTATCTGTGGAAATTTTAATTTCTTTGATGAAATCTTTATATAACAGGCGAATGTTATTAAACATGTACAAGTTTGAAAATTCACTATTATATACATATTTGAACTTTTATGTCTTATTAAGAAATATTAGTACCTTTTACATAAATTTCGAAATTGTGCACAGTTTTTTTATATAAGTATTAATATTTAAAGTAGTTCTGTGATATTTGTATTAACAAGATCACATAATCACATTATAATTTCTTTTAATTAGTAGAACATTAAATAACAAACTTAAAAAAATTATATTCCTCCGATATTTTTATATTATCTGTCATATTATTTGTGTTTTTTATATTATATAGGAAAACTAAACAATTATAATTTTTATCTACTCTTGATATAACCTATACGTAATTTGCACTCACGTATACATGGCGCCACGTATAAAAATGCAACCGAAGTTACTCAATACAAATAGAAGACCTAGTCAACCAAAGAAACGTAAAAAAATTACTCTTGTGTTTGATGAGAACAAAAGACGGTAATTACATTGATATTAGTCAGAAATGTAAAAAATCATAAGCGATATGAATATTTTATTCCTTTAAATGCAGAGAATTTCTGAAAGGATTTCGTAAACGAAAATTGCAAAGACAACAAAAGGCCAAAGAAGACTTGCAACAACGATTAAAAGAAGAACGGAAAAGAATTAAAACCGAGGAAAGTATACATATATATTTTACTGTGATACAATAACAAAATCTTACTTTTACAGTCACGAGAACGTTATAAAAAATTGTTATCAAGTCGAGACATACCTGAAATTCAACAATTGTTATCTCAACACGAATATGAAACAGAAGGGCATACTGTCAGTATTTTGGAATTAAATGTTGCAGACTTAGCAGAAGGGAATGCACTAATTGGTGAAAATAAAGGCATTGAAGAAAATGAAAGTAATGAGATAGAAGAAAGTGCTAAAAATTCTGAAAATGATGAGGAAATTGTAGGAATGCCTTTAAATATAAAAAAACAAACTAAAAATTCAAAAGAAACTGTAGAAGAAAAACAAATTAAAAGCGGGAAAGATTTTAAGAAAGCAATAAAAAGAAATGCATTGAAACAAGTTAAGAAAAGTAAAGTATTTCAGCAAAAACAAAAATTAGAACGTCAGAAGAATAGGAAAGAAAGCATGAGGAAACGTAAACGAGTTGAAAAAGCTAAAAAACATAGTGGAAAATTAAGAAAGAAGTTAAATCATTAAGTTCTTTTTCAAAGTTTCATTTTTAAATATTGTAAATAAATACAGTTCAGAAAAAAGCAGTTTTATAATATTATATCTATTTTTTCATACCACTCTTTGCACTAAATGGGCATATATCTTTATTTAGACATTCATTACATTTGGGAAATCTTGGTAAACATATCTCTTGTCCAAACCCTACAAGTAAATAATTTACCTGACTCCAAAGTTCTTTTGGAAGCCATTCTTCCACTGCAATTCTTGTATCTTCTGGTGTTTTAGTTGTTTTTTTTACCCATCCCAATCTATTACAAATGCGATGCACATGTGTATCTACACCAATACCAGAAACTTCACCCCATGCTATTTGCATACATATATGTCCCATTTTTGGCCCTACTCCTGGTAACTGACATAATTCTTTTAATGTTTTAGGAATATCACCATCATATTTATCAATTAATATTGTTGTTGTCCTTTTAATATATTCTACTTTTCTCTGAAAAATAAAATTTTCCTTAGTTTTATACAGTGTTTGAAAAATCCTTAATCTCCTTTACAAAATAAAATATGACAGTATACTCTTAATATGTCAAATATAATAATTAAATGATAAATCAAAGTACCAAGTTCAAATAATTACTATAATATTAGAAGTTATACCTTCCAAAATCCAACTGGATATATCAGTTTTCCAAGAACGTGATCAGGAGTACCTGCTATTATTTCTGGAGTACCACCATAAGCAATTAATCTCTGCATAGCTGCATGAGTAACTTGATCTTTGGTCTGACTACTGAGCATTAATGCAATTAATGATTGATATCTAGCTACTTTTGCAGTAGCTTTTGGATCTGTACATTTGTGACAACCCATTTCATCTACTGGTGCTGTTTTATATTTTCGCATTTCCTTCACATTTTCCAAAACAGTTTCCCAATTTGAAGGTACCCATTTATCTTTTATATTTCTTTCTTTCTTTATTATTTCATCTTGTAAATTTTCAACTTTAACTTCACTATCTTTTGAATCAGTTGCATCTTTTAATTCTTCATACTTTATTTTTATCGGTGTACGTTTTTTCTTCTCAGTTTTTTTTGGTGGAAGATCTTCATTGTCAAAATACTTTGATGTCGACGATATATCTTTACAATCATTTTTATTTTCAGATCGTAAAATCCTTGGTGTTCTAAGAATGTCAAGCTTTAACTTTTTATTCATTTTATGAAGGTTATAATATGACAATTTACCTACGAAAATTCTATTAGAAACAAATGAAAAAATATCATACCGGTAACCGATAGTTAAATTCGAAGGCAACATAACCTTTCGCGGTTTCTGTAACCCAATAACAATTTTAATCTTTAATCTACACATGCGCATTAATACAAAAATATATGATATAAATAACAATAGTAATAGTTATTTATACACATCAATAATTATTTTCATTCAAATATCAAATCAAATAGTTTGACAAAATCATTATATCTTAAATATGAAGCAAATATATTAAATTCAAATTTATATTATATTTTCATACATAAAAAAAGTGGAATAAAATAGGTCTATACATAATTTTTAATTATTTATTTTCCTTATGTAATACGAATACTTACATAAATGAATGAATAAATCATTAACTAATATAATATGGATTTTACATAAATCATTAAAATAATATTATTGTTAATGCATATTCATTCTATGATAGCATTGAATCCAGAGATTAAGATTTGTTCATATCTTTGTTTTAAATATCCACATTTATAAATTTAAAATTTTAATTCAGTTTAAATGATATTATTTGCCAATAATTATATTTTCAATGTAATAAAAAAATAGTTAAATAAAAATAATTCTTTTGTTATAAATGTAATTTCAAGATTAAATAAAATTATATATAAATAAAAATTATCACTTAGAAATATTTTAATAATCATTTAAAATTTATAATTGATAATTTGAACACCTTGACCACAGATTATCATATATATATACATAATGTTACCCAGTCTCAATAGATATACGAAAGTTAGTAAAACAGAGTCCAAAACTTTATTAAAGTGTTAAAATACCTATATTATAAAAATGTATCTATATTGTAATACATGTATATACTAACTAAATTGTATGTAATTAGACGTATTAACTATAAATAACATAAGTACAAAAAGATAAAGTAATATAACAAAAATTGTGCAGTCCTTTTACTGCTCCACATCACCCCATTCCAATTTAATTTGAAGAAATGGGATTGCCTTGTATTATAATTTATATACGTTATCCTAATATATACATATCCCTTTATTTTACTAATACCACCACGTGTTAGAGCTCATTTTTTTCCATACATATACAGATGAGCAAATAGTTTGTTACAAATATTGTCAATCACATTTAATGCTGCTATTATATTAAACTGGACAGAATAATAAAAAATATTATTTATCTATACATGCATTTACTGGTCATTTTAGACCAATAATGTGCTAATATAAATTATCATCATATCCAAATAATTGATAATGATATTACTATTAAACATGCAGTGTATTTAAATAATAATGAAAATAACATTTTGAAAAATACCTTATCTTATATTTTAAACAAATTCTTCTAAATTTTTTTATCTGTAATATCTGGATTCAATGTTTATCTAACATACTATTAAAGACAATGGACGGAGTGGAGGAATGCATAGATAAAAATTAAAAGATAAAATTTAAGAGAAAATATTGTAAATAATGTTATGCTAACATTTGTGCTGATAATTTACAGAAATATAACTCCTTAGATTTTAAATTCAGGCAAATAAATTTAAACAAATTTATAAAATCAACATCAATAAAAAATACTACTAAAAAAATTAAGAATAATTCTTCTATTTGTAAATAAATCACATAATTTGTAAAATGGCGAAAACTATGATTCAGGTTGATTTACATGAAATTAAAAGAATGTCCATATCATGTGTTCTTACTACACATTGATGCATTTAACCTTTGTACTCAACCTGGAATCTGGTTAGCAATGGTATTAGGACCAGTAGACACAACCGAAGGAATTGTAGAATCCTGCATTAAAGTACGTGTTTCCTCTTCTTGATCAGAAAGTGGTATTGCTGGAGTATCATGGGAACTAGTCTGCTTCAGCTTCAGTTGACTCGGCAGCTCCGTAAGTACCGGCCCGTACTGCGAAGTGGAACCCACCAGCAAGTCAGTCGATGGATTCAAACCGCCCAACATCTTTCCTCATAGCAACGCGTATATAAGATAAAGAAACGAACGTACGAGCCAGAACATGGATGGCTTCCAGTAAATAAAACCAAACACAAAATATACATCTACTAAAAATATCTTGCCTACCTGACCACTACTTCCAACCATTCCACCTCTTGGAGATTTACCACGATGGAAGAAATGTTGCCAAGCCCAACCAAAGCCTAACAGAAGCCCTACTAACATCATGCTAGCACCTAATGCTATGGAACTTTTTGCAGCATCTTCAACATGTTCTTCAATGCTTGTTGCAGATGTGGTTGGATGTTCATTTACCTTTATGTATAATTATTTTTTAATTTAATTTCATATGCTACACAATATAAATACGTAATTATAAAATTAATGCATAAAATAATATACTTTGGAAATACAAAAATAGTTTCCTTTATTTTTTGTCCTATGTTATATTACAAATTTTATATGAATTTGCAGGACATAAAATAAGGAATAAAAAAATAAAAAATAAAGGAAATTATACGATTTCATTTTGTCATTAATATGATTATTTTATATAATTGTAATATAAATATTTTGTTACTGTTATTATTATGAAACATTATTTAATAAGAAAAATTAATACAAAACAAATTATATTTCTAAAACAGAAACTATAAGAACTGCTTTGCGACACAATAAAAAGTGCTGTCAGTCTTTAAATATTAAATCAACAAGACACCTGCTACTTAAAATAAAACTATATATATACTATATATATATATAATGCATCTATGATGCATTTATTTCGAATATAATAGAAAAGCGTTATTTTAGTTAAATATACGTCATGCTATTGTCATTTATTAAGAATTAAAATATTCAAGTAGCAAAAATCATGGTACTAAAAGGTTATCAAGTATTTCTAGTTACCTCTATTTTATTTTCCTGTGATGTGTCATCAGATACAAAACTGACCAGCATTGTCGTTAAACCAGCAATGAAAAATGATAAAGCAACTGAGAGTAATACCCATTCGAACCATTTTCTAGAGCTGAGTTTATGTCTTGAGATAACTCTCCAGAAACCACTTCTTAAACTGCCACCACCTCCAGCACCGTCACCTCCGCTATCGTAGGTGTAACCTACTGTCGTGGGTTGATAAACAGCACCACTATCTGGCATATCTTCTCGCGAAATGTATGCAATTTTTGCGGTTTTTCTGAGCCCAGAAACGGGCACTTTTTAATCACACGTAAAACTTTTAGTTGAATCTACTAATCAGAGATATGCAAAAATGGTATTGCCCAATGCAACGTACAAAGTGGTATTACTTCGTTGTCAGTGTGTCAGCTTCTGATTAATATTTGTAATTATTTTTAAACTTCTACTTTATGCATTACAACTTTTATTTTTTATGATTTTTTTATTATATACGCATATATATATGTATATATATATATATTCGCAATGCAGATACAATGTGCACGTAGTACATACAGACACTTAGACGTCACGCATCAAAAACCCACTACGGATACCATAGATATCATGGATTAAAGTTATACGAATGATATCAACAGAACGAATCTAATTTTTTCGTCGAAGTTACTGATAACTATAGCCGTTGGATGGCACCACAATCGTATTCCATGTAGCAGTTACATGGAAAGAAATAAATGATATGCATATTTAATAATTGCAAATTAATATCAAGAACACATTAGTTGATAAAATAATTTAGAATCTTATGGGACATTATATACACTTCTTATAAAGTTTGCAATATTAATTGCAAATCTAATAATGTATTAATTAATGATATTTATTATAAAAAGTAATTTCTATGTATGATAGATTTCTATTAAACGTTGCAGTAGTGTATAGAATATAATATTGAGAAATATGAACAATAATCAATAAAATCTTTATAATAATTATATACATATAATGTATAAATTATTATTTTTATAAAATTGATTTTTGATATTTTACAATTTCTAAATTTTTTAGAAATTAAAATATTAATATTGTTTATTATATATTATACATTAATTATATTAAATATGTTTAATCATTCGATAGTATTTTTTTACAAAAGGTTAAAGTTTATACTTAAAGTAATCATTAATTGTGTATTAAAAAGAAAAATAAAACTTATTACATGTAGATTTAAATGGTATTTAAATGTAAGATTTTTTATGACCTTTAAAGATAAATTTAGAAATAAATGATATAATTTTTTATTAAAGTTTACTAAATATATAATCGATTAAATAATATATATATATATATATATATCTATGCATGAGTTTTGCAATATAGATATAGGGTGGATTCTATCATTGTGTATCTGCTATAGTTTAATAAGAGGCCGCTATATTTACGTGTATCAGCTGTGGAATGACAGGTGGGATAAAAAATGGCTGAAAATGGGTTGGGGTCAGATGCTGGATCTCAAGAATACCTCGCAACTGAGGTTATTAATTTAGATATTGAAGAGGTAATTAATTGTATTTACCATAAGAATGTCGAAATCTACGAGCTATATAAAGATTTTAATTTTAAGGTTATGTTCTCATAACTCACTTGTCTAATTATTCTCTTACTATGTTAATAAATATTATGCAGTGTTAGAATAATGCAATAAAATTTTATTTTATTAATATTAAAACATTTTTAGATTGTTTTTCATTTATTATATAATTACTTTTGTCATTTTTTTTTCTTATACTTAAGTGTAGTAAATTTAATTATATTATTAGGTAAATTATCAAATTCTTCTATTAAGATAATTGATGTTTATATGCTATTTTATAATTTTAGTTAGATAATACAGAATATGCTATACCAGCTGTGGAAGAATTACCTTCTTTAGAAAGTATATTAACAGAATCTGATTGTGCATCGTTATCTGAAACAGATGATGACTTTGTTTTAAGACCACGTAAAAAATTAGGAAGTAGTGAAACAACAATTGTTGGAAGTCATTTATCATTAAACTCTTTAAATAAATTTAACAAAACTTCACAACCAACATCTTCTGGCGCTATTTTAAGGCATGTCATGTTAAAAGGAATATCATCACAAATTGTATCAGCTAGTGTAAGAAAAATATTTTCTTTAATAGAATTCTATATTTACAACTATTTTATGATAAATTCTTTGCAATTATATTATATTTATATAGGAAAAAGTAAATGCTGGTTTAGCAAGTGCAGTTGCCGCTGGAGGAAATATGTTAGTAGTTGGTACTAGTCATGGTTTGGTATTAGGATTTGATTCTTCACAGACATTAAGATGGTGTGATCAAGAAGCAAGGCACCAGGGATCTGTGTCTGCATTATGTTTTAATCATGATGGTAGCAGAATTCTAGCTGGTTTTGCTAGAGGGCATATACTGATGATTAATAGCTCTAATGGAAAAGTATTAAGAACACTTACTGATGTTCATCCTCTTGACACAGCTGTATTACATGTTAAAGTGAGATCAGCTTGTACCATTTTAGTATTTAATATATAATATTGTTAGCATTTTTTTTACAGTAAACATTAATATATCACTCTATAGTTCACAGATTCTCCAAAGGTAGCATTATGTAGTGACAGTGGTGGATCTGTTTTTGAATTAAATTTTACAAGAGTGATGGGAGTAAGAGGCTGTGATAGCAAGTGTTTATTTAGTGGATCTAAGGGTGAAGTGTGTACATTAGAACCTTTGTTATTAAATCATTTACCATCACATGCCTTGAAAAATTATACCTTAGTGGCAATGGCAACATTATCACAGGTTCTTTACCTATTATTAAAGAAAATTAAAAAATTTGCTTTATATATATATATTATATTATTTAAACTTTGTAGGTAATAGTAGTATGCATAAGACCACGAATACGTGTTGTGTTAACTCATCCTTTATCTGGGGCACCTATAGCATTACCACAACTATCTTGGCAGCTTGTTGTTATACAAGCAGCAGATGCTCGTGTAATTGATCCTGTTCTGGCTCTTGCAAGAGACGATGTAGTTTATTTTTATCAAGTATAAATTTTATATAATATATAATTTGACAATTAATTTGATAATTTAACAAATTCATATTAATCAAGTTTTTTTAAGGTATGTACTGAAGCTGGTTCTAGAGTAAAATTATCTCCTTTAAGAAGAATGACTCTTCCATATACAATAAGTAACTTACGATGGTTAAATCCAAGGTCATTAGCAGTATTGGATACTCAAGAAAGGTTACATTTAGTAGATGTAAGAGCACAGGATAACTTGGAAACATTAGATATGAGTCGTGTTGGTATTTCATATGCATCTAGCCATTTTAAGGGTCTGTCCACTGGTGGAAATGTTTCAAAGGTATCAATTTAATTGTTAATTAGCTAATTGTTAACTTAAAATTGATAATTATATTGTTCTGATACTTTAAAACTATAGGCAATGGCATTGGCTGGTGAAAGAGCATGTTATAATACTGTAGTAACATTTGGTACTCAACTTTTATTGTTAGGTACCAAAAGTTTACACGTAGTTTGTATACGAACATGGACAGAACGATTAAGACACTTGACATTACAGGTTTGTATATTGAAACCATATAATGTTTTTTACTTTGTTACATTTTTTATTCTTTCAGAAAAGATTTCCAGAAGCATTATCATTAGGATTTTCTTTTTATCAAGACAAAGGGAAAGCGGTTGTTGGTCTTCGTGGTTCAAAACAACGTCGCAAACAAATAGCTCATGATAAAGTATGTCGAGTTTTGAGTCACTATATAGAAGAATTGAATTATTGTGCCGCAGACGAAAATACAGAATTTGAAATAGTTACAACTTGTGTAGATTATTGTATAAAATTAGAAAATACAGATTTATTATTTGGAAAATTATGGGATACAATTTCGGAATCTAAAGGACTAAAAGCAAGTTATTTACATGCTCTCGAAAGTCCTTTATTAGATGGGAGTCTACGACCGCGATTACCACCGTTAATTGCTCAACAACTAGTTACCCTTTATGATCAAGAAGAAAAAGTAGACTCGCTTCAAGCAATTATAGTGTTATTAGATGTTGATTGTTTGGATATTCATCAAGTAAGTGAAAATAATTATATTTTCCTAATATTTTTATCGAATTGAATAAAAAAAAATTTAGTAAAATTGATTTTAAAAATATTTGTATTTTGAAATGTCATAGGTAACAACACTATGTCGACAACGAGGTCTTTGGGAAGCTTTAATACATCTTCAAACGACGGCATTAGGTGATTTTACTGCTCCAATTCATCAATTAGTGCCGATCTTACAAAGTATATTAACAAATTCGAAGGATTCGTTAACTCGAGATGGTATACAACTTGGCAATGCACTTTTGGTCTATGCCAGTTGTTGTCTTGCCGGTCGTGGTTTTCCCAGGGATGAGCTTCCTGAGGGTATGTCTCAAAGAGCAAAAACAGATGTATTAAGGGCATTACTTTCACAGCATTCAAGTTGGGCTAATGACACAGAAAGGCAATATCCATATCTAAGAGCTTTGCTACAATTTGATGCAAAAGGATTCCTCGACGTGATAGCAATTGCCTTCCAGGAACCAGAATTCACATCTGAAATGGGCCTCAGACAACGACAGAGACTCATAGATATACTATTAAATATTGTTATGCCTAGCACGCCATTAAGTCCAAAAAATCCTGATTACATTACTGACGAACAAAGAAATTTAGTTCTTATATTTGTAGCTAATGAGGTTGCAGAAAATACTGTTAATTTAGAACCTAGTATGTTAAATAAAATGATAGAAATATTATGTACTGATTCAAGTATGGGATCATCAAAAGAGTTTAAGACTGATAAAGAAAATGCAATATTGGGATTATTGCGATCAAAAAAATTGCGTAATATATCAGATAATGCTTTACTTAATTTGGCAGAAAGAGCTAATTTGTAAGTATATACATAAATATAAATATATGAAGTTAAAAATATTATAAATTAAAATAATACAGCAGTTTTTTAAATTTATATTACATGTATATCATTGTTTAATTTAAATTGTGTATTATATCCTTATTAGCTTAATAGAATATATTTATAATAAAAAATGTTATAGTGTATTTTTCAATATCACATTCCGAGAAAATGTATAGCATTATTAATACTAATAGCATCATACATAGTAACTTGTATCGCAGTATATAATGTTACAGTATGCGTGTTGCGGAGATGCTATACAGCGCTAGAGAAGATTGGATCGCAGTTTGTAAATGTATGATATTGCATCCATCTAGACATCATGATATTTGGGTCTGGTTAAAACATCTTCCTTCAAATTCGTTGCAAGTAGTTGTAATGGCAAATGCAGAAGCTCTAGTGGGAATAAATGCAAGTCAATTTGCCACATTGATAGCAACACATTTGCAAAATAAAGTTGCTGAAATATTACAAAAATTAGAGGATACTGTAAACTTACAATATACATTATTAGAAGCTCTATATCAAATAGTACAATATAAAGAAGAAGATATTACTTTAGAGCTTACACCTGAAATGTTAGAAAAATATCTAGAATTAATGTGTGAATTACAACCAGATCATGTTAGTAATGCCTCATGATATAGTAAGGTATAAAATATATTACTTATTAATTTTACCATAATTTATTTTTTTCTATTTAGGTTGTTGAACATATTCAAGGATTTCATGGTTGTAGATTAAATGAAGCTTTACAAATAGTTCAGAAAGCAAATCATAAAGATGCAGAAGCAGTAATGTTGGAAAAATTGGGAAATTATCAGGATGCATTTGATATTCTTTTAAAAGAATTTCAAAATAATTTGGGATTGGTAAATATATATTGGATGAAAATAACGTAACAATATCAATCATTACTTTTGACTTCAATAAAATTTATTTGTAGTATTGCCAGAATAAAGAATCAGAGAATGCATCAATTCATAGTGCAATACAACTTGCGGGGATATGCAGACGATCTGCAGGAAATTTAGATTGGATGCCATTTGTGGAAACCATACTTCAAACACATTCAAATAGTAATGATGAAAGAGGTATGTTGTACTTTGATGTTAATATTTTAACATCAAATTACACATAATAATTTTCAATTGCTATTTTTTATTATGGACCATATAAATTCGTAGAATAGATATTAACTGATATTAAATTACAGTTGAAAAATTAAGTAAAAAGTTATTGAGGATTGCATTAGAATTCCTTAGTGGTACAACAGCATTATCAACTGTACTAGAACAAATATTAAAACATCCATTGGCAACAAGTGGAACGATAGGTGATATAAGACAGTTATTATCTGGAGTACTTACACATTCTCGATATGAACAAACTTTAGTTGAAACTACTGCACGTTTGGTTAGTTTGGAACTTCATGAAGCACTGAAAAAATCACTTAGGTATTAAATAATTAGTAAAAGAAATTGATCTTTATAAATGATATTAACAAATTTAATAATTCTTTAATTGTAATATTTTTATCTTTTAGGGACGCGAGAAAGGGTTGCGCTAAGGTATCAGTAATTTGCCCAATATGTAGACATTTGTTATCACAATGTGCAGAATATATAGTAGTTTTCAATTGTGGACATGGTTTTCACTCAGAATGTTTAGGAGAACCTAAATCTTGTTATAAATGTTTAAACACAAAAGGATGGGCACCTATTGTTACTAATATTACACATATCACAAAATCATTCCATGTAAGTAACATTTTGATTTTGTTTTCAAATAAACGTATTATATAAAATTAAGATACTATATGCATTTTTATATTACAATTAAAATTGGTTATTTTGTAGGAACATAAACAAATTTTACCACCGGAATTTATGCGTAATAATCTTTCTCTAAGACTTGCACCACCTACTTCTTTACCAGATCTTGAGGGTATTTTTTAATCTAGTCTGATTATAAAAATTTAATATCACACTTATTAATGGTGTGTATTAATATAAATGACTGTTTTGTGTTATACATGTATATTACATTGGATCTCTTATTTTTCATTCCATGAACACTACATTATTCTGTTGTCATATTTTATATAAAAAGTTAAATTATAATCGTTTTTAGCGAGGCTCCCTTTTTACACATAGAAAAATACACTATTCATTATATTATGTTATCCACAATTTCTTGAATATCCATATTTCAATCATATTTTGCTTAGCATGATTCAAATACTGTATGTTTGTATATTGTAAATTAATATACCTATATTGTGTATAGTATTGATAAGGACTTGAATACTTTTATCAATGTAAATTCCATTTGCCCAATGTGCAGCACGTTGCCAAATATCAGCCATTAAGTAAATAAAGATAATTAATTAAATACATTCATTCTTATTTGCTGTTATAATTATCTGTATTATCCTAAATATAACGCTTTATTTTGAAAACATTTTAAACATTTCCTTCAAACCTACAGCTATGTACATATATAAATTTTCTATGTTGAGTAACATGGATAAATTGATTTACGTTTGACATTTTTAATAATAAAAACTGGCTTTTTTGGCATATTTTCCATTAGAATATAATTAGAGTCGATAAATTCATGACCCAGTAATTCACCAGTCAATAATTTTGCAACTAATGAAAAAATACTTAAGTCATATAAAAGTGACTTTTTTGTAGGTAATAATTCAATATTGGTTACATATTTGTCAATTGCAGATTTTAATTTTATAAGATGTGGAGTAATATTTGATACAGATAAGTATTGTTGCAACTGCAATTTGAAAAAATGTTGTATTGTTTTATTAATTATATCTTATATTAAATATTAATATTTATATATTAGTAAAAAATTAAGTAAATTATTTACCTTGTTATCACATTTTCCTAAGCTGCTTATAAGTTCTTCACTTTCAGTAATTAATTTGTATCCCTTTAGTATATATTCTTGGTTATAAATAGATTCATAAATTTGCAATGACACTTTCAACAGAATAATTTCTTTTTTTATTTTATCCAGTAATAAGGATAATGGTACTCCATGTAATGTTCGACTAGCCATTCGAATTTTAGAATACTTTTCGTAAATCTATATATGTATATAATTAAATTATTTTACAAACTTTATATATTTCTTAAATGAAATAAATATTTTGCAAAAGTAATACGAAATTTAAATTAGAGACATATGAAAAATTAAAAAACATTATTTAGAAAATAAAAAAAATATGTTTCGATAATAAACAAATATTACCTGACGATTTACAGAAGTCCATGAATTTGCAATTTGATCGGCAAATTGTTTTATTTCATTTTTTGTTGACTGATGCGTTTCAGCTAATTTCCATAAAGAATCAAGTTTATCCGCGAGATCACGTGATATATCGTGGAACCACGTGAGCTTAACATCCAATTCATAACTGATTTTTAAATTATAGTGATTTTCTATTCTTAAGATCGCTACCTAAATAAATGTTGACAGTGCTGTGTTGTGTTGCTCGTCTTTATTTACATATTTTTTAAATTAGTTTTTCAAGTAAACAGTAATGCACTTTTCCATCTTTTTTAAATCCACTAATTATGGCTGTTAATTTGTTTTATCGTTTAACTCTTTCATGCTAAGCAATTAAAAAATACAACTCCGAAATCAGTAGATTATACATTTATATTCATATACATTTTTATGCCATCAATTTAAATAAAACTAATGATAATAATTAATATGAATACATTTCAAGCATGAAAGGGTCAAATTGTTTACTCACATTTCTTTCGAGTGTCTTTATAAGTTCGCTATATGAGGGCTCCTCCTTTTTTATCAGAAAGTCCATTTGAAAATGACGAAGTAGATGAAGTATGAAGAATTAGCTTTTTATAAATTATAGGAATATAAGATAAAAATAAAATTAGATTATATGCGTCTACAGATTACATTAGCTTCGCTCAAAAATGCGATAGTCTTTTGTTTCCCTTTATGATATAAATGAATTGGTTTCTATGGTTTTATCCTCTATTTCACTCTGTTCGTATCGATAGTTCGAATATTATACAAACGACAATTTTCGTTTTATTTGTGATTCTTAATACATAAATTAAATCTGGTATTTACTGTTGTTCACCACTGTACAGGGCGATATCACATACGTTTACAATATCAAATGTACTGATTTTATAGAACTCTGAACCTTATTCTTCAAACGATACATGAATTTGTACAGTGCAAAGACCATCATTATTATTATTATTATTATTATTATTATTATTATTATTA